GCCAATGGTAGCAGGTGGGTCAGCTCTGCCAAGTTTGCCCCCTTTGCCCCAGGGTCCTCTCTTGGCTCGAATCTTGAAAGATCGATCGTGCACGATGCTCACATGTACAGCTGTGAACTTGCGACCATCGATCGCGAAGTCCTCTCTTCGCTGCCAGAGCTTCTCCGCTTGTGCATTGCGGAGGAAGGAAACAGTCACCGGGATCTCCTCAGCACTCGCTATCTCGGGTCTATACGGAGCCTTCCACATGATTGCTTTACTCTCTTGCACTGAGTCTACGATCAGTCCGATCTCTTCGAATTTCTTCTTCAGGTTCTCCTCTTGGTTGACATACACCGAGGAGATGCCCAGGAGAGTCATGGAGATGAAGGAAGTCACCTCGTTGCCTGCTGAGGCGGTGTATGTCTCGACCTTCTCCTTCTTGGCTTCTTCAATCTGCTGCATAAACCACTCTCTGGATGCGTCACTCCATCCAGTCATCGCTTCTTGTAGAAGCTCACGTCGTGCCTGCTGACATGTCGAGCGGATGGCTTCTGCGATAGCGTCGGGGGTGCATCCCTCCACAGCCTTGCAAGCCTGAGCTGTCCTGCTGTTCGGATAACGCTTCGCGAAGCTCTTCACCCTCTCGACAAGATCAGCTTCGAGGACAGAGGCATCCACAAGTCCGCGCTGCGTGTATTGGCATGATCTCCGAAACAGCAGGTTGCGAACATTTTCATCATACTGAAGAACCATACTTAGAAAGCTATTTGAAGTATACAAACCTTTCGCTTGCAGCTTCCTTGGCGCCCTGGCAGCTTCCCCTACACCACGCGTGCAGCCATGGTGCCTGAAATAACCGGCGCTGCCATGGTGCCTGAAATAACCGGCGCTGCCATGGTGCCTGAAATAACCGGCGCTCTAAACCCTAAACCTTATTATGTGAGTTTATTAGAATGCTAGAATGTTGCTCGGCCTCGTTGTGGGCTTATGCAATTTGATCCTAGTCTAAAGAGGCGCTCGAGCACTGGGAGTACACGGCCTACAATGCGAACCCTGCTTCTGAGGCGTCTTTCTACTCTCTACTTCTGCTGTCTTCTCTTGGCTTCCTCAGCCTCAGTCAGGAGAGTTGCCTCTCCTCACCTTGGCCTTCGGTCACCACCTACTCTACCTCCATTCAGCTTCCTCAGCCTCAGTCAGAAGAGTTGCCTCTCCTCACCTTGGCCTTCGGTCGCCACCTACTCCTCCTCCATTCAGCTTCCTCAGCCTCAGTCAGGAGAGTTGCCTCTCCTCACCTTGGCCTTCGGTCGCCTCCTACCTTCTCTCCTTACCTTGGGCTCAGCTCAAGCTCGGTACGGGCTCGCCCCGTCTTCTTCCTCGCCCTCGCCTTGCTCTTCCTCCATGTCTTCCTCTTCTTCGTCATCTTCCCTCATCTCCACTCGCAGTCGGTCCTTCTTGTCCACCTTCAGCGAGCAGGCCAGCACATGCATCTCTGCGAATTTACTCAGTGCTATGAACAGGAGGCTAAGAGATCGACGCTCTATGTCGTCGCTCTCCGCCTCCTGCTCAAGCTCAGCAGCTGCCGTTGCCCGTGGCGAGAACGCGCTGCCCCTCCTTGCCTTCTTGCTCTCTCCTTGCACGCGAGTCCAGCGCTTGCTCTGCAGCCACTTCCCCAGCTTCTCCTTGAGAACGTTGCGCCCAACTCCCTGCTCCTCTGGCATCTTCGCCCACTCTCCCAGCGACATGAACTCCAGGCTCCCCGGAGAGTAGAACGTGTCGTGGAGGTTGCCAACGGCCTTGTCCAGGACCAGCTTGATCGGCTCGCTCGTCCCCGCCTCGTTCAAAGAAGCTGCATCTTCGATGACTGCTGACAGCTCGCTGACGAGCTGCATGTCCTCTTGGCTTGACGGAGATGCTGCCTCCATGGTGATCCTCTCCAGGTCTGTAAACTCCAGCCACTCTCCCTCGCTCTCCTCCTGTCGCTGCGCTGCGTCGCTGGTGCCCCGCTGACCAGCCGCCTCAGAGTCAGGCTCCTTGTCGAAGCCGACTGCTTCGAGCTTGGTTGCTGCGCCTTCGAGATAGAAGGGCAGCTCCTTCATCATGCGTCGAGCATCCTCCGTGGAGCCGAGGAGGATGCATAGCTTGGACCCGTTCCAGGACTTGGTGTTCAAATCCTCCTCCATGTCGATGCCTTCAACGTTGATCTCGAGCCTGTTAGCGATCTCCAACAAGACTCTCTTGACTCTTGCGATGGACGTGTTGCCGCCGTTGCACAGCCCCTCCATCTCCTTCCTCGTGAAGCGACCAGATGCCGCCGTCGACTTGATGATGATCTTGATCTCCTTGCCGTCCTTGCCGCCTGCCTTCTTCTGCATCCTTGATGCCTTCTTCAACTTATTTCTGGACACAAAGCGATCAGCTGTCAACTCGACTGCGAGCGCCTCTCTGATCTTCGGGTCCTCGCTGAACAGAGTCAGGTGTACTCCCTCCATCGCTTCGCTCTCTCGGAAAGCTCGAAATGCTGTATCATTCGCCTCTGGGCAGCTCGAGGAGACGATCCACTCCACCTCCCTCTGTCTCCAGATGACGTTGGCCCCTACAGCGATGAAGCCTTTCTGACCTAAGCCTTTGTGGACTTGCTGTCCTGGCGCCCCAGCGACCAGCATGCCTGCCAGCGGCTGGAGTTGGACCGCTGCAAGGGACTGGCGCAGCAGCTGATAGCGATAGACGGCAGCTATCTCAGCCGTTGTCATGCCGCCCAAGGTTAGCAGGTGAGTCAGCTCTGCCAAGCTGCCCCCTTTGCCCCAGGGTCCTCTCTTGGCTCGAATCTTGAAAGATCGATCGTGCACGATGCTCACATGTACAGCTGTGAACTTGCGACCATCGATCGCGAAGTCCTCTCTTCCCTGCCAGAGCTTCTCCGCTTGTGCATTGCGGAGGAAGGAAACAGTCACCGGGATCTCCTCAGCACTCGCTATCTCGGGTCTATACGGAGCCTTCCACATGATTGCTTTACTCTCTTGCACTGAGTCTACGATCAGTCCGATCTCTTCAAATTTCTTCTTCAGCTTTTCTTCATGGTTGACATACACCGAGGAGATGCCCAGGAGAGTCATGGAGATGAAGGAAGTCACCTCGTTGCCTGCTGAGGCGGTGTATGTCTCGACCTTCTCCTTCTTGGCTTCTTCAATCTGCTGCATAAACCACTCTCTGGATGCGTCACTCCATCCAGCCATCGCTTCTTGCAGAAGCTCACGTCGTGCCTGCTGACATGTCGAGCGGATGGCTTCTGCGATAGCGTCGGGGGTGCATCCCTCCACAGCCTTGCAAGCCTGGGCTGTCCTGCTGTTCGGATAACGCTTCGCGAAGCTCTTCACCCTCTCGACGAGATCAGCTTCGAGGACAGAGGCATCCACAAGTCCGCTCTGCGTGTATTGGCATGATCTCCGATACAGCAGGTTGCGAACATTTTCATCATACTGAAGAACCATACTTAGAAAGCTATTTGAAGTATACAAACCTCTCGCTTGCAGCTTCCTTGGCGCCCTGGCAGCTTCCCCTACACCTGGCAAGGAGCCATGCTGCCGAAAATAACGGCCTGCTCCTAAACCCTAAACCCTATTATTATTATTATTATTATGTGAGTTTATTAGAATGCTAGAATGTTGCTCGGCCTCGTTGTGGGCTTATGCAATTTGATCCTAGTCTAAAGAGGCGCTCGAGCACTGGGAGTACACGGCCTACAATGCGAACCCTGCTTCTGAGGCGTCTTTCTACTCTGTACTTCTGCTGTCTTCTCTTGGCTTCCTCAGCCTCAGTCAGGAGAGTTGCCTCTCCTCACCTTGGCCTTCGGTCACCACCTACTCTACCTCCATTCAGCTTCCTCAGCCTCAGTCAGAAGAGTTGCCTCTCCTCACCTTGGCCTTCGGTTGCCCCCTACTCCTCCTCCATTCAGCTTCCTCAGCCTCAGTCAGGAGAGTTGCCTCTCCTCACCTTGGCCTTCGGTCGCCTCCACCTTCTCTCATTACCTTGAGCTCAGCTCAAGCTCGGTACGGGCTCGCCCCGTCTTCTTCCTCGCCCTCGCCTTGCTCTTCCTCCATGTCTTCCTCTTCTTCGTCATCTTCCCTCATCTCCACTCGCAGTCGGTCCTTCTTGTCCACCTTCAGCGAGCAGGCCAGCACATGCATCTCTGCGAATTTACTCAGTGCTATGAACAGGAAGCTAAGAGATCGACGCTCTATGTCGTCGCTCTCCGCCTCCTGCTCAAGCTCAGCAGCTGCCGTTGCCCGTGGCGAGAACGCGCTGCCCCTCCTTGCCTTCTTGCTCTCTCCTTGCACGCGAGTCCAGCGCTTGCTCTGCAGCCACTTCCCCAGCTTCTCCTTGAGAACGTTGCGCCCAACTCCCTGCTCCTCTGGCATCTTCGCCCACTCTCCCAGCGACATGAACTCCAGGCTCCCCGGAGAGTAGAACGTGTCGTGGAGGTTGCCAACGGCCTTGTCCAGGACCAGCTTGATCGGCTCGCTCGTCCCCGCCTCGTTCAAAGAAGCTGCATCTTCGATGACTGCTGACAGCTCGCTGACGAGCTGCATGTCCTCTTGGCTTGACGGAGATGCTGCCTCCATTGTGATCCTCTCCAGGTCTGTAAACTCCAGCCACTCTCCCTCGCTCTCCTCCTGTCGCTGCGCTGCGTCGCTGGTGCCCCGCTGACCAGCCGCCTCAGGCTCCTTGTCGAAGCCGACTGCTTCGAGCTTGGTTGCTGCGCCTTCGAGATAGAAGGGCAGCTCCTTCATCATGCGTCGAGCATCCTCCGTGGAGCCGAGGAGGATGCATAGCTTGGACCCGTTCCAGGACTTGGTGTTCAAATCCTCCTCCATGTCGATGCCTTCAACGTTGATCTCGAGCCTGTTAGCGATCTCCAACAAGACTCTCTTGACTCTTGCGATAGACGTGTTGCCGCCGTTGCACAGCCCCTCCATCTCCTTCCTCGTGAAGCGACCAGATGCCGCCGTCGACTTGATGATGATCTTGATCTCCTTGCCGTCCTTGCCGCCTGCCTTCTTCTGCAGTCTTGATGCCTTCTTCAACTTATTTCTGGACACAAAGCGATCCGCTGTCAACTCGACTGCGAGCGCCTCTCTGATCTTCGGGTCCTCGCTGAACAGAGTCAGGTGTACTCCCTCCATCGCTTCGCTCTCTCGGAAAGCTCGAAATGCTGTATCATTCGCCTCTGGGCAGCTCGAGGAGACGATCCACTCCACCTCCCTCTGTCTCCAGATGACGTTGGCCCCTACAGCGACGAAGCCTTTCTGACCTAAGCCTTTGTGGACTTGCTGTCCTGGCGCCCCAGCGACCAGCATGCCTGCCAGCGGCTGGAGCTGTACCGCTGCCAGGGACTGGCGCAGCAGCTGATAGCGATAGACGGCAGCTATCTCAGCCGTTGTCATGCCGCCCAAGGTTAGCAGGTGAGTCAGCTCTGCCAAGCTGCCCCCTTTGCCCCAGGGTCCTCTCTTGGCTCGAATCTTGAAAGATCGATCGTGCACGATGCTCACATGTACAGCTGTGAACTTGCGACCATCGATCGCGAAGTCCTCTCTTCCCTGCCAGAGCTTCTCCGCTTGTGCATTGCGGAGGAAGGAAACAGTCACCGGGATCTCCTCAGCACTCGCTATCTCGGGTCTATACGGAGCCTTCCACATGATTGCTTTACTCTCTTGCACTGAGTCTACGATCAGTCCGATCCGAGTCTTCAAATTTCTTCTTCAGCTTTTCTTCATGGTTGACATACACCGAGGAGATGCCCAGGAGAGTCATGGAGATGAAGGAAGTCACCTCGTTGCCTGCTGAGGCGGTGTATGTCTCGACCTTCTCTTTCTTGGCTTCTTCAATCTGCTGCATAAACCACTCTCTGGATGCGTCACTCCATCCAGCCATCGCTTCTTGCAGAAGCTCACGTCGTGCCTGCTGACATGTCGAGCGGATGGCTTCTGCGATAGCGTCGGGGGTGCATCCCTCCACAGCCTTGCAAGCCTGGGCTGTCCTGCTGTTCGGATAACGCTTCGCGAAGCTCTTCACCCTCTCGACGAGATCAGCTTCGAGGACAGAGGCATCCACAAGTCCGCTCTGCGTGTATTGGCATGATCTCCGATACAGCAGGTTGCGAACATTTTCATCATACTGAAGAACCATACTTAGAAAGCTATTTGAAGTATACAAACCTCTCGCTTGCAGCTTCCTTGGCGCCCTGGCGGCTTCCCCTACACCTGACGAGGAGCCATGCTGCCGAAAATAACGGCGCTGCCGAAAATAACGGCGCTGCCGAAAATAACGGCGCACTAAACCCTAAACCCTAAACCCTAAACCCTAAACCCTAAAATCATGTTTGCGATCTTTTGGATCATGTTTGCGATCTCCGAACAAGACTCTCTTGTGACCCGATGCCGCCGTCGACTTGATGATGATCTTGATCGCCGCTTGTCGTCTCTGCGGCCTGCCGCTTCTTCTGCATCCTTGATGCCTTCTCGGTCGGAAGAGTTGCCTCTCCTCCCCTCGGCCTTCGGCCGCCAACTACTCATGGGCCTCCCTTCAGCTTCCTCAGCCTCAGTCAGAAGACCCTGAGTTGCCTCTCCGAGCGGCCTTCGGTTGCCTCCCGGAGTCCTACCTTCTCTAGAATGCTAGGTAGGTTGCATGGCTTGTTATCACCGTGCTCTATTCTAGTCCGACTAACAGGGATCTCGTGACCTGGCAGTTCGGCCCGACTTGGCTGGCCCATATGGCAGCCGTGCTTCTGAACCCCGGCTAATCCCTAGACTACAACTAAAAAAATGTGTAGTAATAATGTCTGAATTCAGAGCCAATTTAAGTAAAACTTTAGTACCTACGCTATTGTCTTGCGTCAGCAGCGAAATGAAGCACCCTTGATCCTGCCCTCGATTACAAAGATTAACATCTCCAGGGGGGATTGGGGTTTAGTTTGACGGAGGAGGAAGGAAGAACGAAAGAGTTGAAGAATAATAGATATCCAAGTGGAACTTACCAAGGATTTAAGGATTTTTAGGTCATTCATGTGTATCAACAGTCAGCTGATTTTTTTTCAAGGTTTAGGGTTTAGGTCTTACTGCACGTTCCATGCATAACTTCTCACTAATTGAATTGTGACAGCTTTTAATCTCCAAACTTCACTGCTTTACCATGGACGTAAGGGTCTTTGCCATTGTTCTGATGGTGTGCATTGGCCTTTATGTTGATGACGGATTTCGCAAAGATACTTTCGAATTTGTCAGGGGCAATTCATTCACTTCTATGCTTGCGCTGTTTTCTGCATATATGATGTACAAGAAAATCGAGAGGCACAACAAAATGCAAAAAATTGCAGGTGTTGTCGGTCTTCGCCTTCGTGTGGAGAACAAGGAGATAGGATGGGTTGTTGTTGAGGTTGTTTGTTTTTCCGATGACCTCTTTCTGTTGATGCTGTGCTTAGGTGGTCGAAGATATGGCAGGTGACAAAGCGGGAATGAAGATGGGAGATTGTATCCAGGAAGTCGACGGTCTGCCAGTGAAAGAGGCACAGAGTGTGCAGATCATTCGAGGGCCTGTAGGAAGCAAAGTGACCCTGAAGGTGGTGCGGGGGCTAAAACAAGCTCTCGTAGAGGTCGAGAAAGACAAACAAGTACAGGAAAGAAGAAGAAAGCAAATGGAATCTTTGAAGGAAGACGCGACTAAAACCTCGAGATTCGAGGAGATCAAAGACTCGACCGATGACGACGATCAAGTAACGAACCAGGACGACTCAAATGCGGATGAAACTCCTGAAATTTTAGAAATTGTCTTGACAAGGGAATCTGGGAAAAAGAATAATCCCATCTCAAAGCCCAGGTTTGATGGTCCAGAACAAGAAGCGAAGAAAGATCAATGAAATGTTGCACGTTGTAACAGAGGAAGTGTATCGTGAACAAGAAAACCTCTGCTGCAGAACTTTGATCCATTTCATGAGAAATACCGAGGAAAGAGGCTCATAGATATTTTGACAACAGCGTCTGCCAGTTGATTTTCTTCACCGCATTTTCCTATTACCCGCCTGGTACACATCTTCTTTTAGTTCCCATTTGAGTAGTAGTAAGCAATTCCAACCAAAACTTTTAATACAAGATGCGATCGCATGTAAGACAAGGGCACACGCCCTCATATCAAACCCTCCCCGTCTACTCATGCACCGCGACAGGAGACCAGTCAACCGTTCCGCTGGGTATCCACGTCCAGGTGTGCACCTTGTCAAAGTATTGAGGAGCAGAAGATCATTCAGGACATCAGTCACCTTCCCATTGGAGAGCTCGGGGGTTTCCTCTGTCTCGAAAGTGTCTCCAGTTGCTGCTCGCGACAAGCCCTCCACCTCCACGTCTACCTGCGACAGCTTGTAGACTGTTTCCAGCCCTAAAACCAGATCAAAAACATACTACGCAAGCTGCAAAGACCTGGAAAGCTTTTGGACATTCTCCTTTCGGTCCATTCTTGTAAACTGCAGGTACGAGATGAGAGAGACAGCGACAGCAATGAGCTTGTTAAGTAAACCTGTCCTCTTTCACTACAATTCTGCTGGTGCTCTTTATCGATGATCCAAGTTCTTCCTTCACCCCCCGAACTGCCGCATCGAAGGATGACTCTTCCGGACGCTGAGAACAAAATGAATTTGCAACGCATCTTGAGGTCTCTCACTGTACCCTCTTCTCTGCTAGGGGGCGATTCCTTGGTCGTGTTCTCCCATCTCGGCATAGTTTTTGTTTAGTCTCATACAGCTGCCAAGTTCCCGCTTCATCATGATCGAGGATTCGAACCTGAGTGAAAAAAACATTTTTCACATTCCGAGGTAAAACCCTGGCATCCATACCTTAACAACAGATATCACTCTTTCTGCTGACTCTGTCAAAGGTTCACATTCCCCCGCCCACAGCTGTCGAGCATTTTGTGAGCGACCAAAGGCGTCAAGCATCGTATACCTCATGAAAGAACTCTTGAACTGTCTTCGCTTCTCCCTGCCCCCATAAAGATGTGTCGATATCGCGAATTTCAAGCCACGCGGTCAAAGATTCGACAGAAGGCGGGAGTCCTCCACGCTCGACAAAATCTAGAACCTGCACACAAATTTCAAAACCATCCTCGGAACTCAAGTCAAATCTTACAGACAAGTGCACCCCACTAATGCTTGCTAGCATTTCATCTTGCTTTGCTTGGAATTCCGCATTCTTTTCCTTTTCGTTTTCAGTTGTATAAAAGAATGGTTTTGAAATCAACCTTCATTTCCCGAAATTCTGCCTCGATGTTTAATTTTTCCATGTCATCCATCTGCAAATGTGATGAATACAAATTGAAAAATGCGTAATAAACAATCGTCGACACCTTTTTCCAAAACGAGGCAAATGCATGATGCACACTTGTATCAGGGCTTTGTGCCCAAAAGGAAGCTTGCTGTAGCTCGTGATTTACAGGGCCTGACTCCGAATGTTTGTGGCTTGACAAACTCTTGTCCTGCTCTACTGACAGAGTTTCTGATCCTTTATGCCCAACACCACCCTTCACAAACAAACATTACCATCAAACACAGAAAACCAGGATGAAGAAAGGATGGTCACCATTCTATATCGGGGATCCAAAAGCATTTTCTTGAATTTTGAAGTTACGTGAAGGATCCATGTGAGCCGTACAAGAAGGACAGATCTTAGAGCAAAAACAAGCCACTTGGCAAAGTTCATGACAGCCTTAATGAACGGTAGCTTCAATATTCCATCAAATCCTGATGAAATCGAGTTCGATGTAGTTGAATGCTGACTTTCATCGCGGGTAGACAGCGATAAAGCTGTGCAAGACAAGAATTTGGTACAAATGTCGGTTCTCAGGCTCTGGATCGTTTCTCTTTTACATGGCGCTGAAACCAAATAATTGTGCGATGTACGGAATGAATTGCCTCGTAATGAACAATGTTGACCAGGACCAAGAACTTGAAACGAATCGCATTTTGCGACAAGAAAAAGCAAAAATATGGTCTGAATAATGCTCTTCATCGTCTTCGTCCTCCAGTTTAAAATCAAATCTCTCTCATGTAGGTCTGTCAACGCACGGTCAATTTCAAAACGGAAATGGAAATTACACAAAGACTAAACAGAAAAAGAACTGATAGCTCTGAAGCGAAGTGACAGTATTGTTTACACTTATCAGCTTCCAATGTCTGCGCTATCGGGATATGAGAGCTGAGGAATGATAGAGGCAAGCCATGCAATACAGAGCTAGGTCACAAGATGGGGGCTGGGAAACACTGATCAGGCTGAAAAGTTCAACACAAGACGGAGAAGGCGACAGCTCGGGTACAAGAGAAGAGCAGCAGCGGTGCAAGGGCGGGCGCATGCTCCGACAAGGCCCAGTCAAGACGGATAGTCGCGGGGTTATCATGCACGTCAAACACGGAGGGGACGCACCAGCATGGCTTTGGGCCGGCGGCTGTGGAGACTAGCAAGAGCGGCGGGTTTCAGGGGGTGGGGGGTGCTGAGGCAAGGGTCATGTTTGGCTGGGGTAGTTCTATAGAGATATTGGTCGCTTGTGAAGGGGGGTGGGGGATTTTCGACAGTGTGGTGGGGGTACACGGTAGGGGTCTAGACCTCATTGGAGGGTCGACCGGCCGCTTGACTTTAAAACGTAATTTTAAACTTAACTCTAAAGTTGTAAAATAAACAGATTCTGATGGGAATTAGCCGGTGACTTAAGCAATTTATCACTTGAAATAAGCAGAAAGAATTTAAAAGATTTTCCTTCTGACTAAAATCCACTACCTACCCCTCACAGGTACAACTCTTCTATCACCCCACCTACTTTGCTTTGGGCTCCTTGGGGGTGAATTTCCCACAACATGCTACCCCTTAGACCACCTACCCCCTCTCGGCCTCTCACCCGCGTTCGTCAGGAACAACTTGCGGCCGCCATGCACCTGCGCGTTTTGATCGGGTAATGGAGGGAAGCGATGAGAAGGATAGATCAAACTAGGAGCTCGATGCGATGAATTCAAAAGACGAAATGGCGTTTGAGATATGCAAGGGGTGCAAGGGGGTAGGTGGCGGGGGGTTGTCAGATGCAAGACTTGATCGAAGCAAACAGAGTTTTTGTTGAGTCAGATATGTTTGTGAGGGAGCATCCTTTTTGTTTCATGATAAACTGAGACACTATTACAGATTTTGCCTGTCTTCAGTTGCCTATGCATATCTTCCTTCTTTGCATACTCGCACAGCAACTGTGGTATAGAAACGTGATTCATAATGTCTATCCTATGTGACAAGAAACTCAGAGCGGGCGAGCACTGGTTGAAGCCCAAGCAAGGCAGCCTCAGGCTAGGAGTTTGTTTGTTTCCAAAATCAGCTGTAATAACAGGTAATTTCGTGCTACACTGCTTCCTCCCTCTGATTTGGCTACAGGTGGGAACGTGAAGACCTTTCTCCCGACCGACGTGTTCAGCTGGGAACGACGCAGACTTCATGGCAAGGATGGGGAAGCTCGAATGACAAGAAACAGACGATCAAGGTTGATTGAAAAGAATTCTCCTCCTGTTGGATGGTGACATGAGAACAAAGATCGAAGTCGACAAATCCAATCCTGAGGCTGGAGTGAAGGAAGCACTTCTCAAGGCTCGTGAATCTGAGGCCATTGCCAAGTATCTTGGAACGACAGAGAGCAAGCAGAGGGCGGGAATTACAGGTAAAAGATCAGATACGTGCGCACCGACAGTGAAGGAGTTGTAGGCGACGTCGAGTTTGTGAAGATGACGGGCAGCGAGTTGACCTTGAGGTTGACGGGGAACTTCTGGCACAATCGTCAGATGGTCTTTGACGATGTAGCCAAGTTCATCAAGGACGCACTTCCAGCCGGTGAGCAAGCATTGCATAAGAGCCTTGTGTCTTTATCCCTCACACTGCCATGTTACAGGAGTTGTGCAGGATGTCGTAATTGAAGATCCCCAGCAGCTTCAGGGATTCGCGGAGACCTCGAATGTGAGCGGCATCAGCATTTACTAGGGTTGTCGTAACAGCTGCGATCTTAGGCCTTCAAGGACAGAGAGCGTCTGACTGAGGAGGACTTGCGCAAGAGAGAGGCAAAGGGGAAGAACATCTACGGAGAGAAGGTGATGCTGCCGACCAGGTCTTGGCCCTTCCCGTTGACACGCTGACAGCTTGAGGGCCCTGCCGCTCAATTCAAGAGGAAGAAGGCTGAGAATCAAGTCAGCTTGCTATCTCGACATGGCTCTTAGCTAACGAGGTGACTAGGCAAAGTATGAAGAAGAGGTTAAGAAGCAAAGAGAGCTTGAGGGCAAGGGCGACGCTGCTCAGATCAAGGTGACATGGCTCCCTTTCACGTGAATTTGAAATATCGCAGGCGATCATCGAGGAGAAGGGGCTGTCAGACTTCTTCAGTGGCAAGGGTGGACAGGTAGAGCACACCATTGGAAGGAGATAAAGTTGTAACAGTTTAATTAGAAGGCAACGGCTAAGGAAACTAGAACTGCCGAAGACATTTTGCAGGCGATGTTGGACGGAAAGATGTGAAGACGTTTTGATGTTGATTTCCTCAAAAAACGATTGAACTGAATCATGAATGTCAATCACGTTCGGTTCACATCGCTGCGGTGCTTAGAATAATAAATCACAGGGCATTATACTATTATCCAGATGCATGAGATCATTTCCTGTTGCATGATCAACAATAAGAGCACAAAACCCAAAAGCATACTTATTCTTCTCACTGAGTTTAGTGCGCAAATCGCAGCAGGACTAGCTGGATTTGTACACAATCCTGCTGTTGAGAGCTTGCAACGTACGGCTAGTGGACCCCGTAATGGATCGGATTAGATCGACATCGTCTTGCCTCATAGTTATCGTACTCTGAAGTACAAACACCCGCACTCCCTCTGAACTGCAACAAGCAAAGTCAGTGTCATTGTGATGACAAAGTGAACTCACCAGGGTGGACGCGTCAAGCTACCTACGTAGGAGTAGGTCTGAAGTGTTGAATTCACAGAAAGACCAACTTGTGTCAGCACATCCTGAGCGGTAAAGTTGATGGTCCGCTGGCCATCCGCTTGTGTCTTTGGGAACTTGGGAATAGCATCTCGAATGAAGGAGGGAGTTGACGACCCGCTAACAACAAGGACGATGAGCATCGCATAACTGCCCTGCTCAGTTTCTCATGGTGCAGCACAAACGAATTCAGCTTCACCTCCAGAGTCTTGTAGAGCAGCTGCAGCTCAGCTGGATAGCTCTTGCCGTCGATCTGATGCTCACTTGGTGTGTGCCATGTCATTTCTTCAATCCTGTATGCTGCACCATTCCAAGTGTAGAAGGCTTCCAGCTTTGATGAAATCAGTACTACAAAACCAGAAACAAACATCAGATTCTTACTCCGGTCGTCTGAAGGCAGTTATTAAAAAGCTGCACACCAGCTTGACCTCGTACCAAGCTTGGAACGTCTATTGGAAACTGTTAGGCACGGAGGGTTCAACATGGAAACTCAGCTGACAAGGGTTGAGGTCGACGATCTGACTGGCAGTGATGCGTTGAGTTGCGTCATCTACATTCGTGTGAGAGGTGTCCATCGCATTTGAAGTAATACATTTCGCGTCAGATGTCACAATGTTTATGGGTGACTGCATCTTGCCCGTAAGGCAGCTTCCCGACCAGGCAAGTTGATTGAGATAATCCCAGGAAGAGGATGTGACATTCTGCAGTCTAGTGAAAGTGAGCTCACGACTGAATCCTTGCGCACCTCAACTTTTGGAGTGAAGCATCCATCTTTGTGGCAACGTGAAAGCGCAACCTGTCACAATTGATTCAATATAATTGATATCACACAAGTTGTAATTTACAGCGGCCATAACCACACCAGCAATTGCAGCAAATAAGCAAATGATTTTGCAAAAGAAATTGACTATCTGATATTCAGTACAATTACACTGAGGGTTGATGATGTCAGTAGAGGTTTTATTCTCCTCCCTCATCTTGATTTGCTGTTCCCATTGCGATTTGGAAGCTGCCGAGGCAGTCACATCTAGCAAGGGAGCTTGCGACTTGGGCTCGGATGGGATAAGCCTTGTCTGTATGTCTCGAGGAGAGACGGAGGGAAGAATGACAGGCGGGTCTGATATCGTCAAAGATACAAATGATCCGGGCGGCCCCAAGATTCTTGACGTCACTTCATCTGGCATAAGATCGTAGACGAGAATCCCATCGACCTACAGCAGTCAAGTCAGACGAGCACCTGCAACCCATTGTTATGCACCTGATGGATGAGATCTCCAACCTTCACTTTCTGACTTTGAAATGCAGTTCCCTACAAGGAAATTCAGAAGAGCCTTTGTGCCCCGTCTTGCTTGAACCTGCGGGTCCACGTATGTGACTGTATATGGACCAACTTCGTTTCCTTCTTTCAAGAAACGAATGCCAATTCCACTTGGTCCTTTCGAAGACATATTTCGAGGGATAAAAACCTGAACACGAAAGTTACTCTCTGCTTAAGCCAAGGATAACGTTTACTTGTCGCATGTTGAAATCAGGCATATTCATTGGCTCTGCATCAAGCACCCTGCCATCATAAAGGTTTCCTCGATTTTGCGAGGTCGAGAGGTTGAGATGCGGCGCGTTCAGTCCACGGCTCTCCATCATGCTTTCAGTGCTTTCGTACCAAACACCACTCCTTCCCGTCGAGCCGACACTCGCGTTCATCATGACAATATTATCTGCACAATGGAAACAATCAACTCTTGCTTCGTCTGCAATACTCATGACAATATGAGCTGAATTCATGGAAACGATTAATTCTTTCTTCGTCTGCAATACTCCTCTGCGTCTACAACAATCTTCTATGAAGTTTCCCTTCTTGTCCTCAATCCAAGTTCAAAATGCGAATTCATTCTACCACCTATTGAACTCTTTTCTTCCATTCTGGTTTCATCTTCAAACTCCATATCGTCTTTTGCTTTCTTTCTACGTTTGCACAAACTGTTTTCCATGAGACTCGAATGTCGATTCTCAATCCGCTCGGGTGATGTTTCCGCCCAATCGAGCAAAACTAGGCAAGAGTTGAGCAAGTTTACAATAATCGTCTCGTCATGTCGTAATCTCATTACGATCGTCATGACAACATTCGCCCATCATGTCCTCCTTCCTCGCTTATCTTCTTCGACCTTGATCCTTTTTTGAAAGGTACATCCCACCCCACCACATCTGCTGGTTTTACACCCCTCATGACCCTCCCTTGGGATTTTCCTCAAAACTGCAGAGGAATCCAGGGGTCATGGGCCCGGGTCTTGACACAATCATCACCCTACCCCCAGTCTCAAACTGGTTTTAAACGGCAGCCTAATAACTGTTCATAACGGTCGTGGAATGGTCGTATCCATCGCGATGGCGGGATGATAGGGTATGCGAGGACGCTTTTGACAATAAGTCGTTTTCTCCTGCAACCCTCCCCCCTCCTTCTCCTCCTCTTTGCTTACAGTGCTGAGACTCTGAATGTTCCTCCTGTTACCACCCTTGGGGCTCAGAAACCCCCGATATCAGCGGAAGAATCGAACATACTTCATGACTCGGATTCTAGCTCAAACCCTAATTCCGTTTTGCTGAATCTTTCTGACTCGTCATCCGAATGGCCCTGTGATAGTAGGAGGGAAGAGGGATGTCGTTATGGAGAAGCATGCGTCCTTCACCAATGTTTGTTGAAAGGGCAAGAAAACAACGCTAGTGTGATTCTCAGGGACCTTGCAGCCTTCGAACAAGAAGGGAGGCAACATGTGATTCTTGAAGTTCCTTCGACCTTTCGAACTTTGAGGGATTGTGTGTTGTTGAATGTTCGCCATGACGACATTGTGTATATACGTGCTATTGATGAAACTTTCCGGTCATGGGAGGGTGGAGAACGAGGTTGGCACACGTGGAGGGGAGTGTGTTGGCTATCCAATGAGGTGCTGTGGTTGCCACGGAAGCCTAGTTTGCCACATACAGGCGCTCGCAGCTTCAAAGAATTGAAGGATATTTGCCGCAAAGCAGATCAGCTAGGAAGCAAGGGATCGAAAATTGAGAAGGTCAAGGTCAGAGGTTACGGATTTTTGAGAATTCTCTCAGATCCGAGAGCAAAAATCTCAGGTCAGATTGTGCTCGGTGAGAATACAACAGGGGAATTCAATGGTCCTATGGTGCTGGCACTCTTAAACAACGCAGAAAACAATTTGCCTGAACCAGCTGCAGACTATTTTTTTTATTCCACAACAAGCGTCTGTGCCATCTCGGTACGAGGGCCGAGCTGGAGCTTCAAGAAGTGTGAGATCCGCAGTTCCGGGGGCACATCGCTTCGGTGCGATGTAATTTCAAATGTCCGATTGATTGAATGCTCTGTTGGCGGGGCCCTGGCATATGCTTATGACGGCAGACTATGCAAAGCTGTCCGAGCTGTCAGTGTCGTAAGGCAGGCACGTTGTGTGCTGAAAAGTTGCTCGATAGAGTTCACTGAAGTGCATAAGTATGATTACATTGCAGGAAGTGCTCTTAAGGTAGGTTGACGACATCAAAGTTGAAACTGACCTTCATTGTTAGCTTAGTGATAGCGCCGAGGTAGTGGCTGAAGACTGCGTGTTCCACTCCCATGATGGCGTCGCCTTTTTGTGGGATGAATTTACAGATGCAGGACCGAGAACACCAAACAGCGGCAGACTAAGACTATCTAACTGTGTTATCAAGCAATGTGGTGTGGCAACATTTTCTGTACGCGGAGAAATACAGGTGGCAGGAAGTCTAAGTGACAGAAGTTTATGATTGAGGATTTCAGAAATCTTTCTTGAAGATGCATCACTGCACGCATTATGGTAGTAATGTATGGGCAAATGATGATAGGTGAGCTCATCTTGCTCCTTTTCTTGCTGGTTGAAAAGTCTGATCCGATCTACAGACCTTCAGGAATTGACCTCCGTGAAAATATTCATCATAATCGAGAATTTCCTGCAGGAGATGGGCATGCCAGCATTGCTCCAGAGTACGACACGCTTCCTTGACGAAGTTTTGAATTTTATTGCAGATGTTTTCGAGGTCTCTACTGGTACAAACCTTCTACTCCACTGGATTCGCTCCCAGATGAACTCCCATTGTATTTTGCATTTGATCGCGAACTTGAATTGACATATTCTGAGCAGTAGTTGCGAGGATAGTTCCGATGAACACGGATCGGACAGTCCCATACCGTCATGTTCTGTACGAATTGAGAAAACCTACAATGCATGCGGTGCTTCATTTGACATGTTCGCAGCTTGATTCAGATGAATCTTCACGTGGTATGAGTAGCGCATCGAATCAGCAGGTCTATGATGGGCGATCAAAGAATGCTCTAAAACTTATTCTTCAGCGATCGTTCATGTCTCTTGATAACGAGAAGAAAAGAATCATGCAAGACAAGATGAATCAAATGATTCGTCGTGGAATGCCCGCAAAATTCAACAAAAATGATTTGGAAAGGATCGACACCTTCTTGCGTTGGGAAAAGGATAAGTGAAGCAATTAGCATATTGTCTAAAATGAATGTACATTCTATTTTTTTGAAGCAGTACTGAGACTAGGGCAGGGCATGCACGCTAGGTCTGCCTGAGACTAGAGCAGGGCATGCCCGCTAGGTCTGCTTGAGACTAGAGCAGGGCATGCCCGCTAGGTCTGCTTGAGACTAGAGCAGGGCATGCCCGCTAGGTCTGCTTGAGACTAGAGCAGGGCATGCCCGCTAGGTCTGCTTGAGACTAGAGCCTGGACTGGAGCAGGGGTACTGGAGCCAGACTGGAGCATAATTAGCGTACCAGCTAGCTTTGGCATGGCTTCACTTCGTTGGATGAGTTAGGCCCGTTTTTTAGATGAAGCCTTGTTTCATGGTGGGATGGAATGGAGCGAAGACAGGGATGGTATCACTAGAAGATGAGGCGTGAGTGAGGCGAAAGTTTCTTCTCAACAAGTGCAAGAGTGAAACATGTGAAGTTCTTGATGGGACAACGTCATGCCTCTTTATGCATGGCTCCCACATATTTTCGCATTTGTTTTTCTCTTGTGCCTTCCAAGTTCCTTGCAGAATTCATTTGTAGCAAAGAACATTTCTCAGAAGACAGCATGCGCAGGAGCACAGAATGCTTTGTTTGTCACTCTTGCAACAAGCAATTCGATTCATCCGCCATCAAATGAGCAAGGCTCAAGCACCGGGGTTGACATGTATGGGATCGAACAGGTTTCAGTTCCTGGAAGTTCTATCAGGATCTCAGATCAAGCCAAGTCTTTCTCTGGGTTTGCAATCCTGTACTCGGACGTGGTGGCCTCGTCGACCATTATGGCAGTAGACAACGCGGTTGCGGTTGGTATACAAGTTGGCGACTTGTTGGCGCTGGAAGATGAAGTCGTCATGGTCGAATTGCTCCTGGGCAGCGGATGCGCTCCGTCATCTCTTGTGCTGTCTTCTTGCATGCAAGAGATGCATGTGCTCAGAGCACAGGCCGGCACTGCCGCGTCTCCGCATAACAAGGGGAGCTTGATGTACAGGGTGATAGCGAACTACATCGTAGACGGAAGCGCGTATGGCAGTGTCAACAAACAGACTTTCACGACCCAAACAATTTTTAACTTGGAGAACATCAGCTCATTTCTTTCTTTCTTTCCGAATTCATCTTCTACACAATATGCTTTGGTTGATGATGAAATAGTTGAAGTCACTTCAATCTTCTATGCCAAAGGATTCGCAATGAAGCTTTCACAGTACGATCTTAACCTTTCTTTTGCTATCACTCCAAGCTTTGATATTGCCGAATACATGTACATGTATTTTCCAAATGCATCTGTATATCTTGAGATACGTTCGTACCAGAAACAAGGTAATATCGCTTCGGTTGCTTCAACTGCGTTCTTCGACGATCATCCTCAAGCCTTTGTGATTTCTGCCATTCAAGTAACCCGTGGAACAAAGGCATCGTTAGTGTCTGCTCACAATCCTGGCACGACCATCTTCTTGCTGCGTGACACATGGATGGTTTTCAGCAATCATAGTTTGTTTCAAGCTGTTGGCGGACAGCTTCAGGTTTACACAATTGCTGTCACCGAATCTTCAAAGATCGTCTCTTTCTCGTTTCCAGTCCAGAACTCATTCTCTGCACAGCAGCCAGCTTCAATTCAGATTTACGTAGCAGGGGACTCGGGTGTCAATACCAACTACCCCGTTGCCATGGACTTCGCCCCTGTCTCTCATTCTTTGCCATTCACGATGCCGCTTTTGATCTGCAAGGCTGGCACCTGGATACAAGACGGAAATCGGAGCTGCTCCGCCTGTCAGGTCGGAAAGTTTTCCCAGGCATGTGGAGGTACCTCGTGCACGGCATGCGTAGCAGGGACGTACACGTCACTAGAGGGACAGACAGCTTGCCTGGAGTGCGTGGCGGGCTACTACTGCCTAGGCGATAGTGATCAAGCTCCGTGTCGACCAGGTTTCTACTCTGATCCTGGGGCCACTAATTGTACCCTCTGTCCTCCTGGCTCGTCTTGTGTTGGTGCCAGCCCGTCGCAACCTTGCGCTTCGGGGACATTTTCGAACGTCTCAGGGGTGACTGCTTGTCAACTGTGTCAAGCTGGGAAGTTTGCACCTAAGACAGGCTCTACAACTTGTTCGCCTTGTCAAAATGGAACGTTCTCGAGTCAAGACGGAGCCTCCCTCTGCCAGCCTTGCGCTCCTGGGACATTCGCTGCATCCTCTAAACAAACGAGCTGTGACCAGTGCGCAAGGGGACGCTACCAATCAAGCTACCAATCGTCGTCTTGCCTTGAATGCCCTGCAAATTCAGGAGCAAGAATTGAAATGGGCATCTGTTATGGGTCTTGTGGAGGGAGCAAGTCTGTCTTGGACTGTCTTTGTCTACCCGGGTACACAAGATTCGATCATTTCGGTTTGGATTGTGTTCCTATAGCCTTTACAAGAGCTGTCATAGGCCAGAGCTCATCTTGCAAAGATTCGCTGAACATGATTGGAGTAACTATGAGTGTAAATGCTGAGTACAACACTGCCGTTCAAAACATCGAGATTAGATCAGCAGGAGAACATTACCTACCAGCAAGGTTAAGTTTGCAAAACCGAAGTGGAAGCGCATTTTTAGCTTCGGCGGTCACAGATGAGAATGGGGCTTTCAATGGAATCAAGATTCTTCAAGCAGGAAGTGGGTTCCTCTATGGTCAAATCCCTCTTGACATCTTCTACTCCGCTGGATGTGCAGTGGATGATTCAGGCTGCGAGACGTACTTGCAAACTTCGAGTGTGTCGACCATCCGAGTGGTTCAAAACGGCACAGGCTACACTGACGGAGTGATGCGGATCCTTGGGAGCCGAGGCGGAGGGTTTCTTGCCTCCTTCAAGACCGACCCCAGTGGTGGCGTAGCCTCTTGGAGCATCGCCAAGGTGAGTGACCGAGGACAAGGATATCGCTCAGCTCAGCCTGTCACTCTCTACTATCCTACTCCGACCTCCTGCGGACCGAATGCCAACGGAGAGCTGCAGATATGTGCTCAGGAAAACACGATAACCTGGATGTCAGTGCGAGGCGGCACATTGGGTTGTGATAGATCAACAGTCATTCTTGCCACAGGAGGAGGAGGTGAAGGGTTTCAAGCGAAGGTGACTGCTGTCGATTTCTTGACGAATGCGATTGTTCTGCTACAAGTTGTGAATCATGGAGTGAACTATGTTTCTGACCCTCTCTTCTATTCCAGCAACCCAAACTGCATCTGCAACTCTGCGAGTTCAAACAAGAGCATTTTTAACGATTGCCTCAAGTTCACGAGGGCAACGGGGGCTGTTGTGCTGGCTTACCCGGCCTTGAACGCCGAGCTTGTGGCTCACACCGGCACGCGGCTGGTACTGTCTTCCTCCGCCATCTCTCAGCTGCACCAAGAGCAAGGCAGCGTGTCCATCTCAGCCTTGTCGTTTCAAACCGTTTCATGCGGCGTGACGGAGACGTGTGGGATCCTTTCCAACTCGTCGACCATCTGCTGGGGTCAGTCGCTCAAGCGTCAGTTCACCGAGTACGTCGAGACCTGGACTTGCGACTACTCAGCTCGCTACTGGCGGTACGTCACTCTCAGCACAAGAAACGGGGGTCGCACAGTCAGTATGGCAGAGATCCAGTTCTTCAGGTCAAACCTTCAGCTGCCAGTAGCTGCGGCTACAAATCCAGCAGGCGTCAACCCACTCGGCTTCTTTGCTGCCTCGGTCATCGACGGAGATTCGCAAACGATGTGGATCGATAGAAGCAAGCAGCCACTGCAGTTTGACTTCGGCGAGCCAGTCATTGTGGACAGGTGCGGAAAAACATGCTGAGAGACACGCTGACGCCTCTTGCAGCTACAGGTGGATGACTTCTCCCAGTCAGCAAGAAACCGACCCCACAGAGTGGCGGCTCGAAGCCTCAAACGACCCAACCGATGCAGGCAGCTGGGTCCTGATCCATCAAGTCTCTTCTCGTCGCCAGGGCCCCTACTCCATCCCCCAGCAAACCACTTCGCAGGGTGTTGTCTTCTTTCCCAGGTCCTCCTGGACTCGATTCTGGAATGGCTCTTGCGTTGTCCCATCTGGCATATCCTGGCGAACGCTATCGCTCTCCTCCCATCACTCCTGTGGTGTGGACTCCAAGAACGTGGGAAACTGCTGGGGAAGCAACACCTTCATGCAGCTGAACTTTCCGGGTCAATCCTGTAACTGCCCCACATTTTACGGAGCATTGTGCAACTGCAAGTCAACAAACTTCAGCAGCGAAGTCATTCAGAAACTTCATATCTCATCGACAGCGACAAGCTGTCAAAACAACCTCTGTTACAACACTTACGCACAAGGATCCTGTATCTCCAATGGCTGTCGTTTCATTTATGACTCGCAAGAATGTCTGAAAGCAGCGGAAAGCCTTGGGCTGACTTCCTCCAACTCGCTCATCATCTCAGTGGATGCTCCTAGCTCTCCTAAGGGGTGCGACTGGTTGTTCAGCAACCAAGTGCTAAACCGACTTCGATTCAACACCAACAACCAATCATCCCTATGCTCCTCCAGCGTCAACTGCGTGTGCAAAGACTGCTCTCCGTACACCTTCAGAACCATCGCAACTGACCAGTACTGTTCCGGAATCTTTCAGAACCACAGTGCCCTCATCCAAGGAGCAAGCACTGTGTCTGAGTGCCAAGAAGTTTGCAAGCATGATGAGTCGTGCGATTACTTGGTCTTCTATCCTGAAGGCTCCTCCATTGCATGCGCCCCCTGCTGCTTCAGGAGCAAGGGGTCGTGCCAACTGGTGGATCCATTTTTCTACTCTCCACCTGCCACCCACCTCAAGGTTGGAGCCAAATGGAGCACGATCTCGGCGGGAGAGCAGCACACATGCGGCATCAGCGACTTGGGGAGAGCTCACTGCTGGGGGTACAACGGGGAGGGACAGTGTGACCTGCCTCCGTTTCTCGCAGCTCGAAGTTGGATCTCCATCTCCGCTGCCACTTACCACACGTGCGGCATCCTTGACGACACCTCGCTCTACTGCTGGGGAGCGCAGAACAAAAGCGCCGTCAACGTCGGACAGGTGATTCCGATTCCTGGTCAGGGAACGTACCAATGGCGCGCAGTCAGCACGGCGATATGGCACACATGCGCCGTGAGTCTGGAAGGGAAAGTGTTCTGCTGGGGTTGTGGTGGAAGAGATCGACTGGGACGAACGATCGGGGTGACGAGCATCGGCGACAACGTTGACAAGGGTCAGTGCAACGTGCCTCTTGAGGTGCAAGAGTGGCAGGCAGTGTCAGTAGGAGAGTACCACTCATGTGGGGTGACCGGAGCTGGCCAGATCCTCTGCTGGGGTTGTCAGTGCAATCCCTCGTACTGCCCTGCTTGGAACAGCCCAGACGTGAACTATGGCCAGTGCGACGTCCCGCAGGGTTACAGCTGGACTCAAGTCTCTGCTGGAAAGTTTCACACCTGCGGAACAACATGGGATGGCAAGACGCTGTGCTGGGGGTGCGTAACGAACTCTACCAAGGCTTTCCTGGACGAGTCTGGTAAGTTGCAAAGAACCAACGGAAGTTGGACCCGAATGAACGATTACGGGCAATGCGATCAGCCGAACCTCAACCTCGATTGGCTTCTCAACAACCCCCTCCAGTCACATGCCACAATCACGAACAGCAACCTGTATTTGAACATTCAAGCAAACATACACGGAGGAAGTAGCAACGCGTTTTCATTCATCATTCGCAATCCCAAGCAAGAGCAGAACTCTAGTGCTGTCTTTCTCTCATCACAGGGAGTGAGCATCGCTCCTGTTTCCATGCAAGAACAATCTGCTTCATCCGCTCCCTTTCGTGTCATCAACTGCGAGCCCGGAAGCTTCTGGTTTTCTGGAGTTTGTCAAACTTGTACAGCTGGAAAGTTCTCTGTGAATTGCGGCGAGAGAGACTGCGCGCTGTGCAATCCTGGCACTTACTCGGTGTCGAGCCAGTCGGCATGCAGAGATTGTCCCTTAGGGACCTTCTCGTCCTCGTATGGTTCTACTTCCTGCTCCTCCTGTCCTCAAGGCTCCGTGGGGCCTGTGACAGGGGCTCTGTCTCAAGCGGATGGCTGCCGGGAGTGCGGGGACGGAAGTTACTCTTTCTTTGTGCACGTCTACGACGACTACCTCAAGCGTTGGCAGAGTCGCACAACAGCATGCTTGACTTGTCCGCCTGGCTTCTTCTGCCCGGGAGGGTCCGTGGCTCAGGCATGTCCTCAAGGGACGTATCAGGCAGCTCAAGGGGCTGCTGGGCCCTCTCAGTGTCTCGCTTGCCCGATGCCTGCCTGGTGTAGTGGCAGGTGGCTGAGGTTTCAGTGCCTCTCCGGGCCCGGCTTCGCCAACGGAACAGTGTTTCCTGATGAAGTTAGCTGCCAAGCCGCTTGCACCAAGGTGGATCGATCGAAGGGGGAATGTCGGCTCCTCCCAGGTACCCACAACGGATGCCTGGAAGGCTATCGCGGCGCTCTCTGTCAGGAGTGCGCCTCGGGATTCTTTCCTGACCTTCTCAACTTCAAGTGTAGCGCCTGTCCAGGGAGGTGGAATGACATGCTTCTGTTGGTGTCGTTCGTCGGAGCTTCTCTAGTTGTCGTATTGCTCGCACTCTCTCTATTCGACGATGACGTACTCGTGACATGCTTCAAAGCATTCCTCACATTTCTACAAGTTCAAGATCTTTCCATGGCGATCAGGTTTCTTTGGCCTGCACAGTACAATGATGTGCTGCATGTGCTGCATGTGCTCAGTTTTCGGACGATGTTCATGTCTCCTACGTGTTTTATCCATGACATCGACAAGTTCTGGCAGTACAGTCACGCTGTACTCTTGTTTTTCCCTGCAGCGCTGCTAGTTTGCTCTGGTCTGATTGCTGCAGGCGTTGGGAGCGGGAGGGCCAAGAAGGGCTTGTTCAACCTCACGGCATGGCTGCTTCACTGGTCGGCTCTGCCCTGGCTCATGAGCATCGCCCAGCCTTTTGATTGCACGTGCCTGGCCAACCGCGACGAGCTGCTGTATGACCGATGGAACAATTGCTCAAGCCCAGGAGCTCGGCGAGTGCTGGGAAGCTATCCCTACCTGGAGTGCGACTCTGCTCCTCATGCCCTGCAGTCTCTCTTGAGCGAGCTCGTGCTGCTCTTGGCCTTCGTCGCTCTGCCGGTCGCCCTCGTCTGCCTCCCGCTGGGACTCAAACGAGACGTGGATGCGTCCGGGGTGCTCCAGGTTTTCAACCTCGGTAACAGCAAAGACGAAGATCTCGGCCTCAAGAGGTCGCAAGGTGTAGGACAAATTTCTCAGCTTGAGCTGGAGATCCAAAACTTGACAGAAGTACACGAGATTGCGAAAGTAGAGCTGGAGAATTTTGTTGAGATTGAGGAGCAGGAGAGGACAAAGGGGAGGAAGAAAGAAGTGCAGAGGGCGTTACATTATCAAGAACAGCTGGAGGAGGCCATCGCCTGTTGTGAGGAGAGAGTCATGTTGCTCAAGCAAAGGTTGATCGAGATGAGAAGGTCCCTGGAGAGGTCAGAGCTTCAAGTCAAGTGCTTTTCTGCTCAGCAGCAGTCATGCTCTCGTGCCAAACAATGCCAAGCTTCATCCCTAGTGAACTTTGTGGAGACTAAGAAGTATCAGAAGAAGCGGTTGAGCCGCATGGCCAGAACCCTTGGCTGGGCAAGACGGCGACATGTTGGTTTCCTGAGACAGTTTGAGGCCTATCGTCGTTTTCATCGACAAGTGCATGCTTTCGAGAAATTTGTTGCTAAACTGGACATCTTTCGCAAATGGATTCTGATTGGGTTTGCGGGCTTGGGACTGACAGTCCTGGTGCCCTCCACCCTTGCCCTCGCTCTTGTCGCGCATGTCGCAGATGTCTACCGTCGGTATCGGTCTCGGCAAGGGAGAAGGAGCATGAGATTCTTGTGGAGCTCCTACGGTACCAGGCAAGAGATTCGCGAGCAGGTGTACCGCGTCGACCCTCTCTTCGCCCAGCACTTTCTGTTCAACAAAGAGACCATAGCCGGAAAGATCGCCATGGTGTTCCGCGGGCGAGGGGAGCAGCATGAGTCGACCTTGTTGAAAGTGAAGAGAATACAAGAGGCAGGCGCTGTCGCTGTGATCATTGTCAACGAAAAAAACAGAGCCTTCTCCCCAGTAGTCAACACTGAAAACTTCGCCATCTTTCAAGATATCTCTATTCCTGTGGTTGGGATCGCAAGCAGCGACATGCAGTACCTTACCGATGGAGTGCTTGTGCAGTTGCAGTTCAGATATGCTCTCCCCAAGCTGATCGGATTGGAGAGAGTGACTTACCTGTTCTCCCTAGATTGCCTCCTTCCTCTCATCTCGCACTGTCAAAGGACGAGAGGATGGTTCGAATTGGTGGTTCTTGCAAGAAAAATGCTTATGGTCCTAGTGCTCCTTTTCTTCCAGCTCGCTCCCAGCATCCATGCCATTCTCTACCTGGTGGTCAACTTTGTGTTTTTCACCCTGATGATGATGCGGCCATATGAGAACAACCTGGTGAACTGGGTTGAAGTTTTGAGCTCCACGTCTTGTCTCATCTCTTCCATCTTGGCCCTGCTCGTTGTGGTCGTCTTTCAAGACCCGAAGCAGGTTCAGCCCTTCGCAGCTGCTGTCCCTCCGCGACAAGACCTCCTGGAGGGCCTGGCTGCTGCGATCTTATTCAACTTCCTGGCGTTCAGCGCTGCCATGGCAAGCTTCCTCGTCGTTCGCTTGATGCGCGATGTGTACCTGCTGCTCAAGCGATGTCTCGCTGGAGGCAAGGTGGCCGACCACTACTTGACAAGCACCAAGAAGCCTCCTGTACGCCATATCTCACATAACTTTGTTTCTGCCCTGCACGCTCAGAGAGAGCTGTTTCGAGTGCTGCCGTCCTCGTCCCTCTGCCGCTCCTCCCTTGAAGCTGTGCGATGTGCACTGCAGGAGCAGGATGAGGAGAGAGGCAGAAAGGAGAAGCCGATCCACAGGAACATGAGCAATTTCCCGTGGTTTTTTCAGCACAGCAAGGGGCAAGCAGGCGTTCAGCTCTCAAAGGATCTCCTCGCCTTCATTCATTTCTCAGCTCGATGTACCATCGAGGTCCCGGCAAACAGTGCGGGGGAGTTTCGCTTCAGAGCTTCGCAGGTGTGTCAGAGTCTAGCCACTTGTCAAACTTGACCTGCTCTCAGGACGTCGGCATCTGCTCATGTAGTGCCGACGGAACGATCTGGAAGAAAGACGGTTTCTTCTCTCCTACAGGGGTCAATGAAGTGGAAAGAACGACGACGCGTTTCTACCTCTTTCGCTCCCTCCCCTCTTGGCAGGCTCAGGACGAACTCGCTTCGCTCTGGAGCCACTCGTCTACGCGTGCTCCCAGCACGTTTGGGCGTTGGTTGATAGAAGAGCGATACCCCTTCACTCTCATACGGCACAGCGAGAAGAGCTCGCAGGTGCGGAGACTTGAGAATATGCCCCTCTCATGTTCTGTTGGACATGGTTGACATGTGGCCCTCTCATTATCTGTTTGACATGCTTGTGGTATTGCTGACTTTTTTGACAACTTCAGATATGGTTGACACAGAAAGCGGCTGTTTGTCTGCTACCAGGAGCAAGGGCGGTAAGAGAGACTGGAGGGAGGCAAAATGAGAGGCAGGGAGAGCAGGAGAGAAGGAGGGAGGGAACGAGAGAGGCAGGAAAGGAGGGAAGAAAGGAGGAGGACGGCATTTTCTGTTCATGTAATGGCTTTCAAAGATGTGGATGGATGAACGAGGGTTTTCGATCCTGGACTTGGCAGAAAGCAACAGCGAGCAGCTGGTTCGATCAGCTCTTGATTCGCCTTTCAGCTGCGCCATTCAGGCCATTGGAGCCAGCAAGGTAATCTCTTGCCCCGGTCTGCCAAACGTGAGTGATGATGCAGCACGCGCGGCGGAGGGGCTCATCGAGTCAAGCTTGGCTGCTCGAGGTGACCCTCGGGTGTTGACTTGTTCTTCAGTGACGGCATCTAGGCTCCTAAACCTGCCTCTGCGCTCGCTGCAATCAAGATGGTCGACTCATCGAAGTCGCATGTTCTTGTGTCGCTGAGGCCCTGCAGGCGTTGCTGGCGTCTGCTTGCAGCCAAGAAGCTCCTGAGCTCAGCATTCACACGCCTCCTAAATCAGTCAGGTGCGAGGTGAGTTGTCGCCTCCTGCCTCTGATGGCTTTGGCAGCTCGGTACGTGAAGAAGCATCGATATCGCACGCGTCCGGGCAGTCAACAGTGACCAACTCTAACGTGATAGACTGGAAACGACCAGGCAAAAGAATCAGCAGATGACAGCCATGCCTCCGAATGTGGGTGTACAGTAGCATGTTGTTTATTTTAAATAGATGGTCATAGATTCGTCGTTTAGGCGGTAAACATGGTCAACCTGAAGATGCGTCATCGATGAGTTCACAGTTTAGCAGTCTCACATTCTATTCATGCGATTCTTTCCTTCGTTCTGAAGCTGGGACGTATACTTGTTGGGTAGTTGAGTCCATCCATCCAACATGGTTGTGGGTTGAACGCGAGCCTCTTGACAGTCCATCTGCTATCATCAATGGTGTTACGAAAGTCATGCAGATGCTCTTAAAAACACAAAGCACGTCTATCATCAACCACGAGTCTTCTTGTTCCTGTACTACATCATGTAAACCAAGTCTGTCTAACAATCGGTTGCTTCCACTCCTCTACCTCCTCCTTCTCGTACTTCCAATCTCCCTCGCCTTCCTCGTTCTGTTCTCCTTTAGAGTCCTCGTCCTTGCCCTCCTTGTCCACATCCCCATCATCCTCGTCCCCACCCTCCTTGTCCACATCCCCATCATCCTCGTTCTCCTCGCTTGTCCACATCTCCATCCTCCTCCTTCTCCTCGCTTACCTCAAACTGATTGCGAAGTTGATCGAACATGTCGCGCCGGAAATAGTCGTTCAACCTCTACCCCACCCCCTCGAAGAAGTTCAACTACCCACCATATACCACCAACCGCATACATAGAAGAGACAGCAATCCAATTGGGTAGTGACATATTATCTGTCCTTTTCATTTTTCTATGTCTTTTCCTGAGGCGACCTCTCCTGACTAATAATTGTGTACCATGATGCCACTACTGTACTTGCTGATCCTTGATAAGTAAACTTGACACTGGCCCTCACCGGCCGCCCAGGCGGCACACGCCGCGGCTGGACCAAGGCCCTCAGGCGTGCCGACACGCCGGGCCGCCGGAGTGGCAGTCAGTGTACGGGGCCCGGCCCGCCCGGCGGCCGGCTCGGCGGAACTGATGAGAGCGGCCCGGGCCCGACTCGACTAGTCCGACAGGGTGCAGCTTGTCAGAAGGTATATGGGACCTGGGGGTCCAGAAGTGGAATAGAAGGGGTAGGGGTCATTCAATCGTCGCTATTTCGAGATGGCGAGATAAATCAAAATGTGAGTGATGAATGTCGACTGTGCGGAAATGCAGCATGCCGAAGCGAAAGAGAAAGATAAAGGAAGATGGGATGGAGAAGAAGAAGTGGAACTGAAGTGTAGACCACGAGAAGCAAGCTTCAAGGAATGAGAAAGAACGGAAACAAAAATATATTTAGAAGCGACCACAGAAAATAGGGCTAAGTGCTACGTTGTTTCGGGAATCACAGAAGGGATTATGACGAAGATGTGAAACGGGATGAAGACACTGACATTAACTCAGGCCAAGAGCTTCTTACGGAACTCTCGAGGATGAGGAGGGGGACAGAGGCGGGCTTCAGGAGATGCGTCGGAAAGCAGCTGGTAAGGAATTGCCCATTTATGAAGTGAAGATGACCGGTGGAACAGAGGAGGAGGAGCATGTCAGTCTCTGGAAAATATTAGCTTTGAATGCTCACGCCTTCAGCTATGGATTGTTCTACGCTTCTGTCGGCGTCATTGTCTTACCCGAAGAAGCACTGAAGATGTTCCCCCAGCAGCACGCCATCTACCTCGCCGTCATGCTCGGCATTGCTGGAGTGTCGCAGCTGGTCTCGCCCTTCGCCGGGTATCTATCAGACCATAGCACAAACTCGATGGGCAGGCGCATGCCCTTCGTGCTGGCCGGGAACGGGGTTCTCTTCTGCATGGTAGGATGCCTGTACCTCGCAAGGAGCATGGGCTGGGGCCTCGTCTACTTGTTCCTTCTCTTGATCGCTATCCTCGCCCTCAACGTCGCCTACACAGGCTTCACCGGCCTTGTCTCTGACATGATCCCTGCCGATCAGATGAGCGTGTGCTCAGGTATCATGGGAGGATGCACAGCCATGGGCGCTGTGGTTGGCTTGATCTGCATCGGCTTCCTCCTGCCAGTGGAGCATGCTTACTTCCTGTACGCTGTAACCCTCGCGATCTGCACCCCTCTCACATGGTACGCGGCCAATGAGAGGAGGCATGACTGCGCAAGCTCTGAGATCGACTGGAAGAAAGTCCGCTCGGCCTACTTGATTTCTCCGTCTTCGCACGGAGATTTCTTCTGGGTGTTCATTTCACGAATGTTCTACTACATGGCAGTTTCAGTGCAAATCTACATCCTGTACTATTTGCGCGATGTCATGACAGAGCAGATTGTTGTCGACAACGCAAAGTCTTGCACTGCGATCCTCTGCATAGTCTCACAAGGATCGTCAGGGTTGGTCAGTCTTGTTGCCGGAACTCTTGCAGATCGAACTGGACGAAAGCCAGCCATCTATACAGCAGTGACGGTGATGGCACTAGTTTACATCGGCTACTGCTTTGTGGACACGTACAGCATGGTCATCCTGCTTGGCATCTGCTATGGGGCTGGGAACGGCATCTACATCTCAGTGGACTACGCCCTAGCCGTTGAGTGCCTCCCCTCGCAGGTCTCGTCTGTTTGGACAAGCATCCGGCGTGACGTTTGCTTGCAGGAGTCCGACGGCGCCAAGGATCTCGCCTTGTGGGGCGTTGCTGCCTTCCTTGGAACGATGTTCGGCCCCTGTGTAGCTGGACCTCTGCTAGCATGGCTGGGGTATCAGCCAGGATCAGAGCACTATGCCTTTATAGGCTACGTGGGAATCATGATGTGTGGAGTCCTCTACTGCATCGGCTGCGGTTCAGCTCTTCTCTTCGTGTCCAAGGGAAATGCCCCGAGGTTGAGCCGCCAGTCCCGATGAGCCTCCGGCAGCAGCGGCTCACATCTTCTTGTAAACATCTTGTTATAACACTATGAAACGCCTGCAGGCCGCCAGGACAAGCTCACGCGCGAGGCGAGCAAGCACGGAAGCGTTGCCTGCAGATTGGACACTCCAGCGTCTTGCCCAGCTGATCCTTAGCGACTCCACATATCGAATGGCAGCTGTTGCACTCCAGGAGCAGCTGGGAATAGCCTGAGGCTCTCGCCTTCTCCTCGCTTGCCGATGGCTGCAGCTCAGCGAGTGGTTGCCTGACATGCTGCGCGAGCTCCCGCGCGATTCGTTCGTCCTCTTTGCTTGTGTCGGAACTGGACGTCGCCTTGACGCCGCAGGAATCATCTTCCAGCGGCCTCCGAGAAGCAGTGCCTTGCTCGTTCCCGGTACTGCTGGTGTTGGTGTTACAGTAAATTTCTTCCTCCTCGTTGCTTTCCTGCTCACTCTCCTCGTCCTCTAGCTCGAGCTCGAACATTTTTTCTTCCCACAAGGAGGTCTGGCACGCGCTTCCTCCCTCCTGCCGTCCGCTGTCGAGCTGAACCAGCAGCGTCGGGCATCCCTTAACGAGGGGCTTGAGCAGCTTGAGGACACAACTTGATGAGACTCTGCCTTGTGCTCCCGTCTTGCAGCTGGGCCTATCGCCCCCGAGCTGGGAAGGAGCTGATACGGATTGCCTGCAGCAGGAAGGCATCAAGATCTCTCACGCCATCCTCCCTCTTGCTCACCTTCCTTCGCCTTTCTCCTCGCGACGCTGCTGGTCGAGACACGAACTGCCAACGGGAGAGAAGAGAAGCGATTTCACTCGCTGCTGAGGGAACTTTGACAGATAAGTATTGCAAGCCTCGGCCGCCTCTTCTTCGCTCTCAAAACGTCCCAGCTCAACAATCTTATCGTCTGCCTCCCCAGAAAGCTGGGAAATGTCAAGAGACGCGATGAGACGAGATGGATCACCTTGCTGGGGATGGAGACTTTTCCAATAAAGCTCCCGTCTTCTGCTCTTGAGACATGTCGAAGTTTCTTGGCAGAATTCTCTCCTTCATCCAAGCCCCCGCTTACCTCGTCAACTTTTCGTTTCTGCTCTCCTTCATGCACACACGATGATGCTAATTCTACCGCGTGTTTTGCACTTGGCCGCTTCAATCCTTGGAGATGCATCTTCATCTTCATCCTCAGCTCTCTCATCATCTCGTCCTGTGCGACAAGTTGCACAAGAGGCTTCACAGACAGCAACGACAACTCGTTCAACTTCTTTCGGTCAACTAGCTCGCTGGGCACAACATGCCCTATGGTGACGAGCAGTCGATCTCTCGGAGAGAGAAACAAGTCTCGGACGTATCGGAAGTCCTGCGACGGCCAGATAGGAACTTTTAAAGTCGAGGGCTCAAATTCTCTCGAGGGTTCAAGGCTGTCTCGACGCCTCCTCATAATCTTGTAGATGCAGAATGTCGTTTGCATCTGAATCAAACCTCCAAGGACGAGATTCTCTCGCACCTACCGCAGTTTCAGATGGTTACGGCACTTGGACCTCCTTCAGAGCTCACCAGCAGACGCAGCCTTCCGATCAACATAGTTTCTTGAACGAGGGCCTTAAAGGTGAAATCAACTTTCCAACTCACATTCCACTCTCTTTCTCGACCTGGAACAGCAACGCCTGACACTTTTCACCTGCTACTGCAAGGTCGACATCAATCACTCTTCTTCCTTGACGCCATTCGTATCCGTCGAGTTTCTTTTCAAATTCTTCGCACTTGTACTTGACACTTGTGTAATGAGTAGTGAAAAGCCCTGATTGAGAGCTGTAAACCAGCCATCGATCCACTCCCTTTCCGGCGTCATCTGATACATCTCCCTCATCGTCCAAGTCTTCTTGAGTTTGTGCATCTGCACCCCCTTGGGAAGGATTTCCTTGCCCAGAGTTCTTCTTTTCCAGACATTCGTCGCAGAAATGCTGCTCAAGAATGTCTAACTCTGACAAGTATCTAAGGAATTCAAGTGAGCAAAGGACCACAGGCAGGCAAATGGTGTCTACCCGCAGCACAACTGATGTTGCCAGGCTTTACACTCATCGCATTCCACCCACAGGTCGGATTCTGTCTCTCCGTTGCAGATGGAGCATAACCCATGATCTGCCCCGATCTCAATGAAGTGCTTCTTTTTGTGCTTGTCTCCGTGATGAACTTGTAGGGTGTTGTCTTGAAATGTAGTTGCTTGCAGCCTGAGCAAGATTATCAACTCGTAACAACATTCAGTCGCAATGCGCAAATTTGAATTACCCATTCTCTGCTTCTTCCCTTGCATTCTCAATGGCTGACAAATGGGTGTTTGCAGGTGCTTCGCTTAAAGTTTCCAATCTGGATTCTTGGATCTGATTGTTTGGTACTTTGTTAATGATTTCAACAACAGATCCTCTCTCGACTCCAGCCGGATCATTCTCTCTCGAAATTTTGTTTGTGAAACTCTTTTCGTTCTGTGTTTCTATCTGTTTTTGGACAGGCGATGAATCTTCTCTCAAGACGTAGCTCTTGTACTTTTTGTACAATTCTTGCAATTCATTCATCGGCCTTCCCCTTCCTCTAAACCTATACACCATTGAAGTCATTTTCATCGGAAACAGAGGCAAGATTGGATCACAGTTTCTGGAAGTCATTCCAATTTGTAGCAATGAAGTTTCCTCGTAACAATTCTTCGTTGGCCAAACTGGTCACCTCAGTCATGGGATTCGCAACTTTACAGGATAAGATCACATCTCATCTTTCAGCCCATACTCGTCGAGAGTGTCGAGGAACTGTGAAAGTCCATTCGCCATCATCGACCTGCATGCAATTAGGACGGACGAGCACATGGTGAGTCGCAAGACCTCATATGAGCAGCTTCTTCTTCTGCTCTTCTCAGGTCAACGTCGGGATAATGTTCCTTGATGGGAGCCTCGGCTCCTCTCTTATACGAGCGATACATCTGCTGCAAGTTTGACATGGGGACACCTTGACCTATCAGATGGTCACCCTTGAAACTAATTCAAGATCGTCGAGCCAAGATTCACCTCGAAAAGCTCTTTGGAACTCGTTCCATCCCAACATCCCACTTCCATCGTAGTCGTCTTCGCAAATTGGAACAAAACCAGGATCGACCAACGCCCCTCTTAAGGTTGGCAATATGTGTGTCTCTAGATAGATGATGTGAGGGCAGTACAGCAGTGAATATCTCTCTTACCTTCAGGGCAGAACTCCTGTTCGTTGACAGCTTCCAAATTTTCTCCTGGCTGCAGCCTTGAAATCTTGGTGGACGTTGGCTGTGAATTGGTTTTATGACTCTTGTTAGGTTTTTCGATTGGTTCTGGTGAAGGTCCTTCGTTTGACTGCACGACACGTGAACAAAGATCAGAGGTAAAGCAGGAGCGTCGATCAAGTACACCTGCACCTCGGACGGCCTAAGATCATAGTCGACAGACTGAGCACAAGAATATGATCCCATCGGGTAGATGTAGACTGCCTGGGAAGGGTACGCTTGTACGACAGGAACTGCTGTGTAAGAAACTACCAAGTGTAAACTTAGCAAACAATCCCGACGACGAGCGGATAGTCTCACCGTTCACTGGATGTGATGAAGCTGCTTCCAGTGTAGCGTCACGAGGCATTCCATCCTTTTCATTGAGATCCTGCTCTTGTTTCAGTTCTAGTACTGTTCATACATTGAGAAAACCTTAGCCGATTGCCAACGGATCCCGCAAGTGAGTGCTCCCGCTGATATCAAGAAGTTCTGATAGTGTTCATGATTATTCGGTTTATACCTATGGCAGATATCAGTCGAGATTGCAACTTTACAACAATAAGAGCAGCATTACTCATCAGGAAAGTTCAACATCTGTGGGTTGATACCCGTTCCGAAATGCAAGATTGCAGCGGCATCCCACACACGAGCAGCATCTTCGGGCGTTTTGAATGAGCATCCTAGATTTCTTTGTGTAGAGTTCACACAGAGACGAGCTTGCCACTTCCCTATCAAGCCAAGGCTGTAAAGACGAGCTCAGCCCCATGCCAGTTTCAATCACCTCGAACTGTCTTGCTGACTCCTCGGTAGTGACTAGACTTGGGAGCTCGTGGCTTGGGAATGGGTCCCACGTACATACTCGACGATTCCATATTCCTGCAAGCAAGTCAGCTTGAGTTAGGGCAGCAGATTCGATCACTGAGATGACTCGTCATCTGAATTGCTAGAGATCGGCTCGTTCATCGCCTCTAGATCTTCACTCATTGTTTTTGAAGCTTCGTGGCTGTTGGTCCTTGATTGCGATTCAGCAGTATCAGACTTTCAATTCACAACCAGAAGTTAGATTGTATTGTCTCAGGCCATAGAATATCACTCCTCAGCGACGCGATTTGCAGAGCGGTTCTCTCTGCAAAGCCCCAAGTAATTATCCTGAGGGAGAAAATCGATCAATCGAGGTGCATCAATCGAGGTGCAGAGAACAGAGTTTTCCATTTCTTCGTGATTGAAATGATACACGGGATACGTTCTAGCACATGAATCTATGATGATGTTTTCAAGGAGAATGAAATAGAAGGCGAAGAGAAAGAAATGCATCCACTTTCCAGTGCATCCTGACATTCAGGGAAAGGGCTCTGTAGCGGTGTCAAAGATCATCCTCTATCGTATAACATCTTCCCCATCAAGCTACCTGACCATGCACCGTAATGTGAGAAGAAGTCTAGCTCATCCAAGCTCTCAACCACAAGCGGGATTGCTGGGATAACAAAAAATTTCACAACTTTGACCTGACCACTGCTTTGTCACATTTAACATGCACCGTGACTTTCCACCCCAACAGAGGCAGCAGATCTACAGTGATTGCCATCGAATACCTCTCCAATGCCCTCTCTTAAACCGTCTTTACATATCCTCTGACTTGGTCTCATCCTCCTTTCCTCACTGTCCGCAACCTACTCAAATCATCGCTGTGCAGGGGGGATGATAGGCAAGCTCCCGGTCCTCTTGACTTTGCCGGCACATTTCTGCATTTCAACCCTTGCAGTCAATCAAGGTCTATGACAGCTTCACATCGAGACGCTCTCAGTCTCTCTCCTCCTCCTCCTTCCTCCCTTCCCCCCTCCCCCCCTCCCTGGCAGACCCGACATGCTGCCCGCCGCTTCCAGGCAACCACCCACCCCACTCCTTTCCTGACTCTTGAACCCTCCACCCCATGTTGCTAGCCTTTTCCACCCCCTGTTGCATTCATGGCCAACTCGCGGTAATCTTTCATCTCGATTGTTACTGGGACAAAATTTCCACCCCTTACCCCTGTAAAGTTTTTCTTAATTACTACAAAATATATTAAGTAAAAATAAATGATACTGATTAAATTAGAGAGAATACCCACCCCACACTAGCAAAATCGAAATGAACACCCCATCTGTGATTTAAAACTTCCGAGATGCTTCAGACCCTTCTATTCCTGCTAGCTCCTACCAAATTATACCCTACCCCCTGTTTGGAGTAAAAAACTACCCCACCCTTTCTCACAGACTCTACCGGCTGATAGCTTCGCGAGTTTGACAGCTTTCACTACCCCACCCTCATTTTTACAGTTTCACACACCGGTTATCTGCCAGAAACTAACTCGGACCGTTGATTCCGCCGTTACTGATCCGACTGTGACCCGGCGGCGGTGCTACGCCGTACCGACTAGGCGGCTCAGTAGTACTCAACTTTGAGTAAAAGGCTACTAACTACTAGTAGTACCGTCACAGTACTACCGCCGTAGTATAGTCCGTAGTCGGCTGGGCAGCGCGGCCGCCGCCGCAGCGCATTTTGCACTGGCCATGAGGGGACTTTGAGCTTCCGGAACCGTCAGCGGCAGGCTACTGGAGGCGGATGGCATGGGTTAATCCTGGACTTCAGCATGTCACATGTTTTTGACACCGGACTGGGCCTCGCTCGGTCACCGGCAGCACAGCGGAAGGTCCGAGGGCATCGTAATGCATATCATCGCGGCTCAGCACGTCCCGCCAAAGACCTTCGCAGTACGTCTCAGGTGATCCGACTTGCAAAATTGAAACTTGAAACGCCGCCGGATGCATGATCCGGTCCAGGACTCCGGGATCTTTTGTCACAGCTCAAGCCTGGCCTCCCTGTCCTTGCGGCTGCTATCATCGCGGATGCATTCCGGTATGCGCCGTCTCCGAAGTTCCTTCGGCGGCGGCCACAGCGACATCGCTGCCGCATCATCCCCGAGTCAGTGGCGCGGGGGAATTGTCCTTCAAGCTTTGGCCTGTGCGACAGTGTCAGGGTCAAGCCTCCTCGACTCTCCTGATTCTCCTCGTACTGATCATCGGATCTTTCACTAAATGTTGATCGGATCATCCGAGTCTCGGTCGGAACTCCTGGGCGTGCCACGGTGCGCCGGCGGCTTCCCCGGGCGTGCCACGGTGCCACGGTGTGCGGCCCCGGGCGCTGCCGCCCGTGCCGCAGTGCGGCCCGGCCGGCAACTTGACCGTGTGAAAAAAAAAGGCGAAATGGTGTAAAACATAGAAAAATCCCTGAAGATAGGGCACCACAAGCAAGACGAGAAAAGCGGGATAAGATGTATTGAATGAGACGATGATGAGATGAGATGTATAGAATAAGATGATAATGATGAGATGAGATGTATAGAATAAGATGATAATGATGAGATGAGATGTATAGAATAAGATGATAATGATGAGATGAGATGTATAGAATAAGATGATAATGATGAGATGAGATAGAATAATTGATAGAAAAATAGAATAATTGATGGAGATAGAATAATTGATGGGGATGAATATATAGAATGAGATGATGAAGACGGTAGTAATGGCGACGATGAAGACGATAATGATGGAAATGCTGGAGACGACGATGATAATAATGACGATGACGATGACGATGACGATGATGAGGACGATAATGGTGGTAGAAGATAACAAGAACCATCATGTATTAATGTATAAATACGTGGGCAATAATAAAAGAAACGTTGAGAGGTTCAATGAGGAGTTGGGTGATCGAACATGAAGAGGAGGGGGGGTAGAGATCTTCGTCGTAGAATCGCTATCTATCATTATCCTAGCGTTGAGACGGACTGAGACAATTTGCAGGATTCGACAAACAATTTGATTCAAGACCATAAAATCGTGAAGGTCCCGACCAGTGGGAGGAAATGAGAGTGTGCTGGGCTATCGTGATTGTGACCGCCCTGATTCAAGGTCACGGACTTCGTGGACGGGAAGGAGGTAAAGTATGGCAGCTTCCAGCAGGCAGAGGAGGAGGAGGAGGAGGAGGAGGAGGAAGGAAGTTGATGATGAGGCTGCGAGGAGGGATGGAAGATGAACTGATGGAAGAAGGGGAGGAAAACTGCGATCACCTCTCCGAACTTGATCTAAACATGGATTTTAAGCAATTCCTGAGAACGCGTGCAACTCCTCAACAGAAACAGAAAATCAAGGACATGATCGTACAGAGATGTCGAGAGTGGTATCTTTCCGACGATGTTGACAACGCCAAGTTTGCTCAGAGTGTGATTTATTATGGCATGGTAGACCAGCCGGACAAGAACACCTCTCATCTCGAACCGGAGGATGTTCAGAGGTTCTTTGAAGCTGTCTTGCATGTGCCCAAGGAGAATTACATGCAGTTTCAACGCACCCTAGAGCGATGGCTCACCACCGAGTCTCCTGACTTGAGCAACGTCTCCGATGCCTCCATTTCGTCAGCCCTTGAGCGCTTGTACCTCGAGGAGCATGGCCAACTGCATCCCAGCTTGGTGCGTGTGCCGTCGCAGATCGCGTCTCTTCAACAAGCGCTGCTCCAGGTGGGAGAGCTGCTGGAGCTGTGAGCGTAGCTGGGGACTGACTGAGAGTGGAGGTACGAAGCAACGGGACTGTGGGGATCGAAGCAGGAACGCACAACGTCTCGCGCCTCCTCGTTCACTCCAGCTTGAACTTCAAGAACCTGACGGTCCTCGGGCTGGACTCTCCTCGCCCGCTCTTGTGGATGGCGGTCCTGCTGGGCAGGCGAACGAGCGGCCGATTCGAGTCCGTTGCGATGGCACAGAACGCGACGGGGAGGCGTATGAAGGTGAGGAGAAGGAGACACTCGTGCTTGCTCCTCCTGACTCGCAGTCCTCGTCGCAGGCAAAGGGGGGGTGCAGGACGAGCCTTTCGCGACCCTCATCGTGCAGGGAAGGTGGCAAGTGAACGGATGCGTCATCCGCGGGGGGGGCCTGCATGCTGTAGCTGCCACCTCAGACGCGGTGCTCCTGCTGAACTCGAGCGAGATCGGGGGGATAGGCCACCTGGAGGGCTCAGAGTTTGCCGGGAGGTTCAGGGAGCTGAGCGAGGCCAACAGGAAGTTCTCGTCGCACTTGCAGCAGGTGCAGGTCCTGACACGCCCCCCTCCCCTCACCCTCCTGCCAGGCCGATGAGTTGACCGCAGCTGGAGACGAGGCTCAGCATCCTCGTCTGTGGGACCCCAAGCTGGAGGTGCTGGCGGGCGTCTGCTGGACCTTGCGCACCTCACCCCGCGCAGGAGGACCTGCGATCGCTCGACGCTGATGTCTGGGGCATCCTTGACAACTCGACGAGAGAATACCAAGAGGTTTCTTGACCATCCCCAGCTCCTCCTCGCCTCCTCCTGCTTCTCCTCCTTCCCTCCCCATGCTCCTCTACTCCTCTCTGTCTCTGTTCCTCAGCTCTTCTTCCCGTATGATCTCTTCGGATCAGGCAGAGAAGCATGTCATGCAAGCTGGGAAGCTTCTGCATCCGAGGTTCGAGGAGATCTTCACGGTGACGGAGGACAAGATCGACCTGGAGGCTCAGGTACTGCTGCTCCCTCCTCGCTGCTGCTTCCTCTGACCCCTCCTCCAGTTCCAAGAAGCCATCGGGGAGGACGGTGGGCCTGTCATATGGGAGCACAGGCGCTTGCGGTGCAAGGATGCGCTGCTCGCAGACAATCGAGCCTCTTGCATCCTCTTGGGCTGCCTCGTCTCGTGAGCGAATCCCTTCCTCCTCCTCCACCACCACACCACCACCACCACCACCTCCTCCTCCTCCTCCTCCTCCTCCTCCTCCTCCTCCTCCTCCTCCTCCTCCTCCTTCTCGACCTACCCCCCGCCCCCGTACTCCTGCTCCTGCTCCTGCTCCTCAACTCACCTGGTCCTGCAGGGCAGCGGCGATGGACTGCGGCCCTGATGCTCCGGGGTCTGGAGTGCGGGGATTGGAGGAGGCGATGGTCGAGGTCAAGCGGACGAACTTCTCCGACATGTCGCATGCTATCTCCCTCCACGACCAGTCTAAGGTCCGAGCGCTGTGGGAAAAGGACCGGACCGGACCGGACCGGACAGGACAGGACAGGACAGGACAGGACAGGACAGGACAGGACAGGACAGGATGCGAGGGGAGAAAGGGGAAGCGAGGGAAAGAGATGAAGGGGAAAGAGAAGAGGAGAGGATGAGAAAGGGAGGATAAGAGGGATTACAGGGAGCTTTTCATACAGCGCCCGGTAAATTTAGAGAAACTGCAGATCATTATGGAGGAATGTTCAATTTCTAAGACTCTTCTCTCAACTTTCTTCATCGACGAGAATTCTTCTGTAAGTCTTCCCTCTCTCCCTCCCCTCCTATGGGTTGTGAACATACTTGGAAACGATCTTGCGGTGAAACGCAACCATGTTGTGAGGATACGGTCTTGACCTCTCGGGTATGACCCCCATCACTCCGTTCCCCCTCACTTCAACCTTCACGTCCTCCGTCACCGCGCTCGGGCAGTCGAGGTTCTGATCAGCGCAGGAGGAGCAAGAGGAGGCGGACCTGGCGGCTGCCCCGTTGCTAGGAGGCTCATGGTTGTTGTGCCCGTTTATGAGGACCGAGCTGCTCTTCCTCCTCTTCTTCCCCTTCCTCTTGGCAAGTGCGGGGATGAGGGAGGATAGGACCTGATCCTCTAGCGTGTAGAGCTTCCCGTCTGTCTTGGCCACTAGCTGACATCGGTCGAACTTTCTCTCTCGGATCCCCTCGAACTTGGCGAACTTCCCCCCGAAGCAGGAGCCTGGCCCCAGGTTGCTCGCGAGCTCTTTCCCCTTGCTGTCCAGCACGTCGACGACCCCGGCAAACACCAGGAAGAACTCCTGCGAGACCTCCCCAACCGCCCGCACGACGTCGTGGGCGAGGAAGTGTTCGTACCGCAGCTCCTTGATGAGCGAGTAGAGGATGCCGTCGCGGCAGCCCTCAAGCGCGGGGATGCTTCTCAGCATTGCAAAGAGGTTGTGCGACTTGAGCTCTCGCTGCAGCCCGCGCGACAGAACCTCGAGCACCGCGTCGTCAGTAGAGCAGATGCCGTTGGACATCCAGAAGAAGTCCATGTACTCCCTGACGCGCTTGCGCACGGGCGCGGGGATCTTGTTCCTGCTCATGAAGTTGTTGAGACGCTCGACCTGCTTGAGGAAGCCCATCCTTTCCTCGTCCATCTCCAGCATCAGCGACATGCAGATCGCTATGAACGAGGTGTACAGCACCGAGCCAAACAGCGTGCAGATGACAGCCAAGAGGTCCTCCGGCTCCGAATCTCCCACCACTTGCCCATGTCCGCACATGAACGCGACTGCAGTCCTCAACCCGCGCAGGTAGAACCTGCCGAAGCCTGTCAGGGAGGGAGAGGATAGGGATGCCAGGACTGAGAGGTAACGGACTGACCCAAGGAGAGAAGGAGGAGCTGGAAAACGAGGAGAGAGGGAAGAGGGGAGGAGGAGGGAGAGGAGTAAGAGGAGAAGTAGGAAGTGAGGGGAAAGAGGAAGGGATGAGGGGACGGAGGGCGGGAAGTGGAGGAGGAGAAGCAGCGGGAGCAAGGGCAACAAGACAGGGTATAGAGGAAAAGAAGGGGGGAGGGAGCAGGAGAGGAAGAGCAGGAGCAGGAGCAGGAGCAGGAGCAGGAGCAGGAGCAGGAGCAGGAGCAGGAGCAGGAGCAGGAGCAGGAGCAGGAGCAGGAGCAGGAGCAGGAGCAGTCCATGGGAGGGATCAGCTGCACCTGGCGCTACATTCCACCCACGAGAGGCAGAGCTCGCTGCCTCCGTACTGTGTGGAATTGCCGACGTCGATGATCCGATAGCTGGAGTCCGAGAGCTTCCAAGTCCAGCAGGTCAGGCATGTCGTCCAGTGAAGGCAGAGGATGCAGCACGCGGTCCATCCTCCGATCTTCCAGGTGAAGTGGGAGAGCTGGAGGTCGAGGTTGAGGTTGATCACCTCCACCACCCTCGCCAGCCTGGAGATCTTGAAGAACGTGAGGATCTTGGTTATCCTCATCGCCTTGATCATCGACGTCTCCGACACTTTGTTGCTCGTGAACGCCTCAGGAGGCAGCGAGGAGATGATATCAACCCCCAGCCACGTCGTCAAGTACCGCACAGCCACGTCATGCCAGGACATGATGACGCATCGCTCCTTCTTGTTGATGTAGCCGGTCAGGAAGTTGAGCACGATATCCATCATGAACACCGCAGTGATCAGCCGGTCAGTGGCGTCGAAGAAGGGAACAGAGTCAGGAAGCAGACCCAGCCCCAGCGGGTCGGTGACGAGCGCGAAGGAAGTGATGAAGAACATCCAGAGGTCCCACAGCATCCGAGGCATCGAGTTGGGATGCAGCGGCACCGCCGCGTCCATCACTGCCGACCAGCACGAGATTTTCTTCTTCTCCGCATCCTGCGCCTCCCCGTCAGAGTCGCTCGCACGACCACGAGGAGCAGGGAAAGTTATCCCGCCCACCACCACTCCATTACCCCCTCCCTCCGCTCCTGCCCCCTCCTCCTCCTCTCTGACCTTCTGGTCGTCAAATCCCTCAGCATCGTTGAGGTACAGAGGAGGGATAGTGTTGGTGCGCTGAGTGTAGGGACGAGGTCCGGGCGGAGAGGACGGCAGCCTGCCTTCCTGTTGACCGATGCCAAGTCAGCATCACAACGTCCGATCCCCTGTTACTCGCCTTGGTCAAGACCGTCTCGAAACTCGCCAGGGACGAATTCTGCACGCGTTTCGCCAGGTCCCTGATGACAGAGGGCGCTATGGCACTGCAAACCCGTCACTCCTCCGCCTCCGCCTCTACCACCTTCTCCTCCTCCTCCTTCTCCTCCACCACCACCTTCTCCTCCTCCGCCGCCTCTAACATCACCACCTCCTCCGCCCCCTCCTGAATACTCTCTCTACCTGGTCCTCTTCAACCTCGATCGCTGGACATCAGGTTCCGTTGCCTCTGGTGGGCCCGAGGTTTCTGGAGCAGGTCGAACGATGGAGACGCTGCGGAGAAAAGGACGAGCCCTCCTATCAAACGAGGCCTTCGGCTGCAACCGCCGCAGTTCAGTCGACGTCCTGGTACTCGCATGCTCTCCCAAGGCGATCGATCTCCTCTCGGGAGAGCCCAAGGTGTCTGACATTCTCACTCGGTTGCTACTTCTGCCGCTTGCAGCAACGCTTGCTTTATCGGAGGAGAAGGTACGTGGAGGAGGGGCTCAAGGAAACGATGGGGGCAGGAAGGTCAAAAGAAAGCTCTCCCGTTTACATCCGGTGATTTCGGAGTATCTTGATCCCAACAGAAAGAGGGAGGGAGGGAGGGCAGGCCTTTTTCTGACATCGAAAGAATCAGTTCCTAGAAGGACTTTCAAGGGATTGAAAGGAGGACACCAACAAAGATACCTTCCCCAGCTCGCTTCAGAATGTCCCAAAGCTGAAATTTTCCCCTAATCCTCTGCACCCTCTGTCCCTCGGTGTTGATGCCTTGATCTCGAAAGGTCTACTAATCAACATAATTCCGACCTTCATCTTGATTTACCTTCACAAGAACCTTCCCACCCTTTCTATTACACTCCACCTTCTCTCTTCCTATCTTTTTGTTCAGTCAGCTTTTTCACGTTATCTGTCCAGGTAAGGTCTTGTCACGATATAATCTCTACACCACTTATTATCCCTCGCAGATGTCTTGTCCTAGATAGTACCTCTGCATGTAGTTTCGCAATGAAACTGTTCAGTGTCTACCTGATAACATGCTAACCTCGTCTCTCAAGGTCTGTCTACATCTCTAGCCTTCTCTCCTCCCTCTCATCTTGCACATCCGTCCATTCTCTCCCTCCAATGCCCCCCGTCACTCCCTGCTCCCATTTTCTCATGGAAATCTCGGCCGGGGGATGTAGGCTCCAATAAGTGACCAAAGGTAGGGTAGTGATATGGATATTGGTGGGTAGTAAACTATAGGGGGGTGTACACTACAGGGCGGGGGTAGGTAGGGGTGAAGGAAGAAGGCTCATCGCTAGGCCGGTCTTAGGAAATCATACCTGGTCATAGCGGGGTGTACCTCCCTTACGAACGATGGGGTACTGGAAGTGGATACGATAGTACCCAGGGGTAGGGTAGTATTTACTAGGGGAAGTGAGTCAAACCAGGGTCAGGGGGACGTGAGGGGGTGCAGAGTACCCCCTGATATTACCGATATCTTGACCCCTTTTAGGGGGTGGGGTGTGACCGCTTGCTAGGAGCTCAAAGTAGGCAAGTTCATCGGGCCCGCGCCGCCAACAGACAAACTTCCAACGGTTCGGCGCGGCGCTCCGGCAGCGCCGGCCCCGGCGGCCCGGGCCGGGCCGGGCGCCCGGGCGGCGGCCGCCAGCCTGAGGCTGCACGACGTGAGAAGTTCACTACTGAGGATGATGTCACAGTAGTGGCTCATCATTGGACGAACTTCGGAAGCTCAGCCCGGTGAATCATGAATTGCGCTCAATTTGGTCAACTCTAACTTGAAGTAAATTTGTTGTTTATCAAGCTTTTCGTTGGACTCTAGCCGGGCCGGCCCGGGCGCCGGTCAGAGTCACTGAGTCTTTAGCGATGCCCGGCCGGATGTTGGATATTTGTAGTATAACAAACCAGTGTTAACAGGTAATTATATTAATTAGACATATATCAGTTAATATGGAATCGATCTTGATTATTAGAGCCTGGAGGCTGTCAGCTATTTCAATATACTGCCAATTAGCCGAATTATCGTGTATTTTAAAAGATATTCATGTTAATTACATACAAATTGTCTAAATTAAGAGATATTTGGCTTACGATAAAGAGTTGAGGGCTAATCGCTATGTAGAGCGTCGGCGGAGCGTCAGGAGGGACGAGGAAGGGAGGGGAGGGAGAAGGCCGGGGAAGGGCAAGGGGCGGAGGAGATGCTGAGAGTGAGATGTGATGGAGAACAGAGAGAGTAGGAGGAAGGAAGGAGGAGAGGAGCAGAGAACAGAGGGGGAAGAACAGAGACCAAGAAAATGATCGCAAGGGAGAGTGGGGAGGAGACGTAAGGAGTCGAGGAGATGCGAGGATCGAAGGGGTCATGAATACATCAGACAGAGGGTGATTGGATGAAGCGGTCAGATGAAGGAAACAGAAGATATGGAGGAGTAGGAATGTGAAGGGAGGGAGGGAGGGAGGGAGGGAGGGAGTAGAAGGGCAACAGGCTTGGGAAGGTGCTGCAAGCAGGAGTCTTTGTTGCAACTTTCCTTCATGCCTTTCTGTAATCTGACGCTTCCTAGGGATCAACATGCCGAAGAAGCCTACGGTCGGTCTCGCAGTTGGATCGGAAGCAGGCTGTGAGGTATGTTCCGCGCGGAAGAGAGGAGGGCAATTTCAGGCGATGGGAGTAAGGGAGGGGTGGACGACTGGTGGACTGACAAGCTGCTGCTTGAAGGGCATCTTGGGTGGTGGGGCGAGGTCGAACACCTTCGATATCACAGCAAGCGGAACGTTCAACCTCGATGACTTTAAGTGCGTTCCTGCTCGTTCCCCTTTCCCTCGCCTGCTCGTTCCCCCTTTCCCTCTCTTCCCCCCCCTGCTCCTTCCTCTTTCCCTAGCTTGACCTCTCTGCAGAGTCAAGTCCACTGGGATCCAACAGACCCCAGCCGGGTCTGGTGCGTCTGCTGCGAAGTCATGTAGCGAGTCTGACTGTTAGTCAGGTCCAATCTCCACGCTACAGATGAGCGACCTCCAGGTTCTGAGGAGAGGAGGGCGGGAGGGGGAGGAGGACGGGAGGGGGACGATGAGTAGAGGAGAATGAGGATGAGGTGGAACTGAGCTACTCGTAGCTCGATGATAAGGCGCTCGGAGAAGGAGCTTCTGGCACTGTATGCTGTTTCTACCCTCCTCCGCATGTCTTGTGACAGGCAGCAGGTCCGACGAGCGTTGCATCTCCCCACTCAACGACAGATTGCTTTGAAAGGTTCCACTCGTGTTGTGCTCCAGCTCTTGCATTCTGACCTGCTCCTCAGCCATCAACGTCAACGACAAAGGGAAATGCGAACAGATGATAACCGAGCTGAAGACTTTGTTAGGCGCTCAGAGCAGGTGGCTTGATGCCACGAGCTTCGATTCTCGTGACGTGGTTGGCTCAGGGGGGTCTGCCCCAATCTTGTTGAGTTCTACGACGCGTTTTGGAGCGACCCAGTGATGTAGGACGAGCAGGTCTTGGGATGAGGCACAAGGAGCTGACAGTGCTGGGCAGGTACATAGCGATGGAATTGATGGACGCGGGAAGGTGCTCGCTCGTGCGTGTGGGACAGGCGATAACGTGAAGTTGCAGTCTTGATGCAGCTTTGAAGCGCTGCCCCAAGGTAACGCCCTTCCCTCGCTCCAAACCTCCTGCTCAACCTCGAGTCCTGCAGCCGACAGAGGAAGTTGTTTCGATCATCACCCGTCAGATCTTGCAAGGCCTTCACTTCCTCCACAAGGTTCCTCCTCCCTTCCCCCCCCCCCCCCCGTGCCTCTCACCTTCTCCTCCTAGTCCTGCTGCTCGTTCTCCTCCTGATGCTCCTGCTGCTCCTCCTTTTCCTTTTCTTCGCCATCTTGTCGTGATGTGACTGGCAGGAGAGACACAACATTCATCGTGACTTGAAGCCTGGCAACGTCCTCCTCCACTCCTCTGGTGTCGTCAAGGTTCTTGCTCCCCTTTCCTCCTTCTCTTGTAAGTCGCTGCCGCCAGCTCGCGGACTTTGGGATTTCGCGAGCCATGGACAATACTATGGCGCAGGTGAGGCTGAGCAGCCGAGACAGAGAGGAGGAGCTAAGGGAAGGAAGGTTGAGAGAGGAAGGTGGAAGTCTGACGGAGGCTGAGGTGGACGGAAGGACGAGGGAGGGGGAGGAAGGGCAGCAAGTGGTTGTGGAGGAGGATGGGGAGAGGGTGGAGCAGTGTGGGTGGATAATCCAGTACAGGCGGAGACGTTTACAGGAACCGCCATCTACATGTCCCCAGAGAGGATGCAGGTACTGAGAAGAGGGGGAGGCTGGTAGTCTGACATGTCTTGCTCTTTCTCCTCCTCCTCCTCCTCCTCCTCCTGCAGGGCAAGCGCTACTCCTTCCCTGCTGACGTGTGGGCCGTTGGCCTGATAGCGACTGAGTGCGTTCTCGGAAAGTAAGTCGAGGAAGAGCTGGAGGAAGTGAAGAAGAGAGAGGAAGCGGACGGGAGAGGGACGGGAGAGGAGGGTGAGGGGAGAGAACGATGTGGAGGGAGAGGCGGGAATGAAGTCAATGGATGAGGGTAGGGGAGGGGAGGAGGAAGATTACTGAAAGGCGTTACCAGATATCCCTACAACGTTCGACCGGACATGAAGTCTGCTGCTCCTGAACCTCTTCTATCCTCTCACGCCCTTACAGATACTTCGACCTTGTCCTCACCATCCTCAACCAGAACCCTCCTTCTCCTGGTTGCCCTCCTGCCCCTGCCCCTGCCCCTGCCCCAGCCCCAGCCCCAGCCCCAGCCCCAGCCCCAGCCCCTCCCTTCTCAACCCCACAAGCTACGTCCTGATTGCTCCTCAGGACCTGAGTACTCCGCTGAGTTCAACGAGTTCGTGGCCATTTGCTTGCACAAACAGGTAAGTGGACTCGAAGTTATCGAAGAGGAGGAGGAGGAGGAAGGGGAGGGATGAGAGCCGGAGGGGGAAAGAGGAGGGGAGCAAGGCGGGAGGAGGGGAGACAAGGGGGAAGGAGGAGGGAGAGGGAGAGGAAAGAGTTGTCGTTGGTTCTGAATGGCCGGCAGGAGCAAAGTAGAGGGACGTGCGAGCAACTGCTTCAGCATCCTTTTATCCTCCGTTATGCACAGAGGTAGATCTCCCTCCTCTTCCTCTCCTCCCCCTCCTCCTGACCCTCTTCTTCTCTATCATTCTCACCCTTGCCCTCTCTCCTCCCCCCCCTCCTCCTCCTCTCCCCTCCCCTCCCCCTCCTTCTCCCCACCCTCTCTTCCTGCTCCCTGCTCCCCCCACCCCCTTCTCCTCTCGCCCTCCCCCTCCCTTTCTCTCTTGACGCTGCTCTTCTCCTCTCAGCCCGGAGACGGTGGTGGCCGAGTGGCTCAGCGGAGAGAAGATGCAGTCATGAGGACGCGGCGCCTCCCCCGGCTCTCCTCCTGCCGTCGCTGAGCTCGGCTGAGCACATCTTGAAGGACCCGGAGAGACTGCGAGTAAAGTGAGAGATCAGCCCCAGTCCAGCCCCGTGCTCCTGCCCCTGCCCTGCCCCTGTTCATGTTCCTCCTGCTCCTCGTCCTCGTAACAGCCCCCCCCCCACCCCGCACCCAATCCCCCGTCATCCTCGCAACTCCTCTATCCTTACTTCCTCCTTCTCCTCCAACAACTTGCTCAGTCGTGCTGCTTCCCCCTGCCATGATCGTCAGTCGATTCTCACTCTCCTCGTCCTCCGTCACACCAGAAGTCGCACATGCTCCTCCTCGTTCTCGTCTCGCAGTCTCTTCAACGCCCTCAGCCTCTTCTCCTTCTCCTCCGCGCGCAGGGCGGCACCTCCGAAGCTGACCAAGGCAGAGGGGAGGACGGGGGGCTGCGGTGGCTGTACAGCATGCAGGCTGGGATGCAAGGGCCCCTCCTTTCCTACTGCCTGCGCCTCTTCCTCCTTCGCTGTCCTCTTCTCGTTCACTTCCTCTCGTTTCCCTTCCTCTTGCCCCAGCTCCTCCTGTCCTCCTTGTTCCTGATCTCGAGAGAGATTGTTATCCTCCTGCTCCTCCTCCACCTTCGACCCCATCCCTCTAGGCCGATGCTCGTTGCTCTCACGAGGGGCTGATGCATTCTCACTTGAAACTCTCTCTGATTCCTCTGACTCGTTATGTTTTGATTGTTCGCAACCCAGTTTCTGTCCCTCCTGTCCCTGCTGCTGCTGCTGCTGCTGCTGCCCCTGCTGCTGTTGCGCCTCCTCCTCCTCCTCCTGCTGTTGCTGCTGCTGTTGCTGCTGCTGTTGCTGCCCCTGCTGCTGCTGCGGTTGTGGTTGCTCCGCCATATCCCCCTCCCGTTGTATTCCCTGCTGCTGGTGTTTCGTCGGCTGCTGCTGCTGCTCTTGCTGCTCCTTCTCGTGCTGCTGCTGGAACAAGCTCTCTTGCCCTTGCTGCTGCGTGTCCTGCTCCTCCTCCTGCTGGTGCTGCTGTGGTCGTTGCTCCTCCTCCCGTTGTGACTGCTCCGACTCCTTCCTCTGCGTATCCTGCAGTTGTTGCTCATGTCGCTCCTTCTGCTGCTGCTGCTGCCCCTGCTGCTGCGTTTCTAGTTCCTGCTGTTCCTGCTGTCCTGCTTGTGCTAGCTCTCTCTGCTTCTGCACATCCTCCTGCGGCTCCTTCCCTGCCGTGTACGGCATGACAACAGGAACTTTCCGTTGCCCCTGATCTGTTTCTTCCCTACTATGTTGACCTGACATTTCACCGCCCCCGTGCTGATCGTGCGGCTGAACCTGTACCTCTTGCACCCTGTCCCTGTCCTGTCTTTCCTCATCCTCCGCTTTCTCCTTCCCTCCCTCCAGTGGGTTCAGTTCCCGTCCCTGCAACTTGGAAGCTCCTGCCTTGTCCTCCTCGTCTAGCCCGACTCCGCCCGGACTCCCTTGGAGTTTCTTGGGGGATCCTCGCACGAACTTCTGCTGCTGCTCAGCTCCATGTAGATCGCCCACCCGTCTCTTCTTCCCGTTCTGCTTCCTCCCGTTACCCGCCCCCTCCACTCCGCCCTGCTGCTGCTGGAAGCGACGAGCGGGAAAGTGCTGCCCCTGCCCCTGCCCCTGCCCCTGCCCCTGCTGCCCCTGCCCCTGTTGACGACGTTTATGACGAGGGCGACGGTTCTTGTACTGCCCTAGCTGATCTCTTGGTTCCTGGTCGAGGTGAACTTGAGAACCTTGATCCAATGGTCTCTTTCCCATCATCTGCTGCAGCTGTTCTCGATGCATCCTTAGTTTTTCCATCCACTGCTCCCTGTCGAACCCGCTGCTCTGCAGCTGCAGCTGTTGCCGTTGAATCTCTCCTTCAACCTCCTCCCGCTGCTGCTGCAGCCTTGCTTGAGCATGCACCAACTTCCCCCAGGCCGACGGCTCCTGTGGCATTACAAGTGCTCCCAAAGCAAGATGCCCTCCTCCTCCTACTCCTACTTGGGTTGGTAGCTGATGCTGCTGCTGCTGCTGCTGCTGCTGCTGCTGCTGCTGCTGCTGCTGCTGCTGCTTCCAACCTCCTCCTCCTGCGAC